ACTAACAATATTATACGCGCAAAACGGGTTCCAACCAAAGGCCTAACACGTGTATTATGGTACGTATCTTTTGAGAATCATAAACAGTTCATTCTATACCTTATGGAACTAAGCACAAATGTTTTAGCCAGCATTTCACACACTCAATTATGGCTTCCTTAATAATTAATTTCATCAGATAATTCTGCCTCTCCTCTCTATAACTCTTAGCCTCCCCTTGACAACCAGGTTTTGTGCCTCTATATTTATAATATTTTCTTCTAGCCTATATTCCAAAGTTCTCGTGCAATGGACTGTGACCTGCACAATTTACACAGTAACCCTATTTTGTTAGCTTTCAAGGAGGCACAAGGCTTTTTTATTGATTTTGCCAGGGCCAGAGAAATCAGCATTTTAAAGTCAACACTAGCATTTCTGAAGAGTTCTACTATACATTTCACCGACTGCTAGGGATAAGGAACATCTGCTAAGAATCTCCATATAAACTTCTTGGGTGGCTCAGTTGCGCCTGAAAATAAGCAGGCCTGCAAATCATAGCACTGCCGGGGTCTACATAAAAAAAGTATGTGTACGTAAGGAAGAAACAAACTGAACTTTACCAGACTTTTAATAAGCTGACAATAAAACTGGACTAGTAACTCTGTTAGAAACACACGTAAGCTGAAGAGATGACTACTACAGGGTCAAATGTTATTAGTAAGTTATTATTGTACTATTGCACTTGACTATGCAGACAAGGCCTAACTATAACTGACAGTCCTTGCTTAAAGATCCTAGCTGGGAACAGAATCTCCATTGGCAGGGGAAACGATTGTTTGGCAAAATTCCAACTGATTGCCCAACTTCGCGACATTAGTCCTGCTTGCGGTCATTAAGCGAGGACCTCACATTTCTCCCGCCCTGCTACACTCACCTCTGCTTCAACTGGCCCCTTCCCCTTATCTACCCATCTCTGCCCTTTCAGCTGCACTGAACTCCATTACTGGTAATCCCCAACATACAACCACAACGGAGTCCAAAAGGTCTGTTGCTAAGCAAGACAGTTGTTAAGTTACCAGCACCGTTGTTAAGTGAAGCTGGCTTCCCCATTGACCTTGCTTGTCACGTCGCAAAATGTGACCCGGGGGACACTGCAAACATCATAAATATGAGTCAGGTGCCAATCGTCTGAATTTTGGATCACGTGACCGTGGGGATGCTGCAACTGCCATTAAACGGTGAAAAACAGTTTAGTCACTTTTTTCAGTGCTGTTGTAACTTTGAACGGTCACTAAAAGAACCGTTGTAAGTCAAGGACTACTTGTACCACTGCCTATCCCTGCTGTAGCCTGCTGCCCCCCCGAACTGACCTTTACCATCATCTTCCTTCCCCAATCAATAGCCACTCCTAGGGGTAGGGGACAGCGGAACGCAGGCCAGCTAAAAGGGCAAGGATGTGGGGAGGATAGGTAGCCATTGCGAAGGGCCAGGATCTGTCTTTCAACAAAAAACCCACACCACCACTTCTGGAAGCATAACATTGCCCACTGTACAGCTACTCCTTGACTTACAACCACAATCAAGGCACAAATTTCCGCCACCAAGCGAGACGGACGCTAAGCAAGTTTTGCCCCATTTTATGACATTTTCTTTCTTGCCACCATTGTTAAACGAATCACTGCAGTCGTTAAGCTAGCGACATGGCTGCTAAGTGAAGCTGGCCTGCCCACTGACTTGGCTGGTCAGGTGGCCAAGCATGATCCCATAATCCTGGGACACTGCAGATGTCATAAATACGAAACCAGCTGCCAAGCATCCAAAATTTGGGGGATGCCGCAGTGGTCATGGGAACAGCGTCTATCAGTCACCTTTTTTCAGGGGATCTGTAACTTTGAGGGGTCGCTAAAAGAATGGTTGCAAGTTGAGAACGAACTGTACCGATGATACTGCAGAATTGGGCCATAGCAGGTAAAAAACCAAACTGGGCAATTAGGTATACATAAAAATGTTTAGCAATACACAAGACTGCTATTCCTAAAAGTAGTCCTTGCCACCGGCACAGAACGAGTGCACTTCAGAAAACTCTACAGATTCCTAAGAATTAACAATGGCATTATATGTATCTATCCTGTATCTAACTATCAGACAGAAACCAGACTTTTTCAATATAGCAAAAGCTCTCCTACACCAAAACAAACAGATAGGTAGGTATGTGAGCATATTTACCTTTTCACTTTAGATTAGCTTTTCGCTTTAAATCTTCAGGGGACTAATCTTTTAAGGATAACTGCTTGAACACAATCACATAGCAAGCTTAGAGCTAGCTAGTTTTGATGCTGTCCATGAACTCCATTTTGTAGTTTGACTCACGCAGCAAACTGTCATTGCCACTGAAGTTAAAGAGATCATGGAACAAAGCAGATTTACTGTATATTTCTTACAAACTGCAATAGGTCAGTTCAGGCTGTTGTGTATTTTGGGGTACAACAGTGAAAAATGATTTAACTAGACTATTCTTTCCTCTTGAGTGACCAACAGAGTCACTGATAGAGGGTAGGACTGGGTTCTCTCGACTATTTTTTCCATTAAAGATTATTAATTTTCCACAAACACGACTTTATGGAAAGTCAGTGCAATATATTTTATTGATTAACCATTAGGACACATACAAGCAACAGCAGTACTATGGCTGGTGATCAAACCTTGCCAAATATCAAACTATGCAAATTTGATAGGTTCAATTGTTAATAAAGTTTAAAGGTCAAACCAATCAAAGATTGTGACAAGAAACTTGTTTGCAAGGGAGGCTTAAGGCAACTCAACCATGCATTTTCCATATACCATAGTAAGAGTGGAATGAAAATCCAGTTAACAAATGGCCATTCCAAAGCTCTTTATAGATTTGTAATTCATGTATTACCAATAATTAAAACTAAGAACAAGATGGAGACTGACACAATTTTAAGTAACCAGCTCTTAAAACTAAGAACAAGATGGAGACTTAACAGAATTTTAAGTAACCAGCTCTAGTCTTGGTCATACTGTGTATCCTATATGTCCATTTGCTTGATATTTTTTTTTATGTTTTAGATGCCACTTAATTAAGGTCACTAAAATGATAAAATGTTCCTGTCCAGTGTTTCTCAACCTTGACAATTTTAAGGCATGTGGACTTCAACTCCCAGAATTCCACATGCTTTAAAATTGTCAAGGTTGAAAAACACTGCCTTAGTCTAAGGCTAAAATGAGTATTGAACTCCAGTCGTCAAATGCAACACACACCAGCTACTTCCGGTATTACAAAAAGCCTTGCTACTTTCAGAGCATCAAAGATCCCTTAAAAAAAAAAAAGTTAAAAGAACAGAAGACTTCTGTCTGTAAACAGGCAAGTTGGAAAAGCAAACCGACGAAGCACGACTTTCAAAAAATAAATAAATAAATAAAAATTAAGAAAGCCACTTCTCCACCCTATTCCACGCAACGTAGCACTTAACCGCAAGGAATTTGCCTGCAGCCAAGAGTGACTTTTTTGTCTCCTTGCAAATCCACCAAAGGCCTTTTTGCACACGCGGATGCACAATACTTAATAGGATTCAGTTGGAGGAGCTGCTGATTTCCTGCTTCAAGAAGCTTCGAAAGCTGTGGCGCGGCCTGTCTTTCGGTGCAACGAATCCATTAAAAACGGGGAGGAGACAGACCAGTTTCCCCCCCAAAAAAAAATTTTCCTGAGCGAGAACCGGCAACTGAAAACGGAGAATGCAATTCCCAGCATTACAATTTTTTTTTTTAAAAAAAGGGGGGGACATATCTTTGGCCTGCTTTTTCTATCCAAAGACCTCTTTTGAACGAAAACCCAACTGACTGCTCCTACAGCCTTTCCAACAGCCACACACAACACACACACACACCCAAGACTCTGCACCCACAAACACACCCGGGGTCGAGGCTTCTCTCCAGCCGGGAACTCCCTGCCATCCGGGCGGGCTGTCACGAGGGCGCTCGCTCCTCCCGCCGCGCAAAGGCACCAGAATTTTCCCTCGCAGGGAGGGAGGGAAGAGGAGGGAGGGGCGGCCGCTTCCTCGAAACAGCTACGGCGTCCGGGGGGGGGGAGGCGGTTGCCCGGCACAGCCGCGCAGGAATAGGAGGGGGAGACAAAACTTCCATCGCTCCACCGCCTTGAAAGGGAGCCTGACAGCCCAGCCCGCCGCCGCCTTTTCCGGAGCGAGGTGGGGCGCAGCCAAGTCGTCGGAAGAATGCTGCCGCCGCCTCGTCACGTGACCTCCGGCCGACGTGCGGCGCCCTAGCTTCTCCAAGGAGTCGCTGCGCCATCTTGAATTGACGCAGTTACGGCTAACCGCTCGAAACAACAACACCGCCAGCCCCCCCTCTCTACCTCCCTCCGGTCTCCTTCCCCCACCCGTGAAGGGAAAGCAGCGGGGGAATCAGGACCGCCCGCGGAACGACCCAACAGTTGTTCCTCCTCCTGCTGCTGCTCCCCTCCTGGGTGTCATGGCGTCCGTTTCCTCCCTTTGCACCAGCGGCCGTTCCCCCTACCTCAGCCCTACCCAGCGGAGGCGTCTGCCCCTGCTGCAGGATGATGTCAGCGTCTGCCAATCGGGAGGCGCCTCTGCGGGGCGTACCCGACCGCCGATTGGCTCCCCCTCTGACAGGCTCCGCCTTTCCCCCCTGCTCCGCCCCCTCTCTCGGGCCCCGCCCCCCCGACTCAGGGGGTTCGCTGCGGAGAAAACGGCCCGGCGGGAGGGAGGCAAGAAGGAAAAAAAAAAAAAAAGAGGCGGGAAGGGCAGGAGGGAGACAGTGAAAAAAAAAAACGCCACACAAGACGCTCGTCAGCCGCCGCCATTTCGTGCTGCGAAAGACGCCCCCCCTCCGCCCCGCCAGACGGAGAAAACAAAAATAAAAATAGCCACAGCGGGACCAGACAATGGGGGGGGGAAATAAAAAAAATCCATAAACTCACGAGACATTTAATCTCCCGCCCTTCTTTCACCCCCTCAGCGTACCCAGCGCCCCATTACAGCCGCCGCCTCTGCGTCCCGCCGGGCCGCCTCTCCCGCCGCTTCCTCCTCCTCCTCCGACGGGGTGCCGGGAAGCCCCGCTGCGGGGAACCGAGCTACTCTGGCCCGCCTTTGACGACGACTACTACTACTACCCCCTCCTCCTTCCTCCCCTCGGTTCTCCCGGCTCCATCAAAGCAGCGCCGGAGCCGCCAGCCCGGCTTTTATCTGGCGCCCCGAGTTTGCGCACTGAAGGAGGCTCGCTCAGCCCCTGGTGGGCGTCGAATGAAACCCCGGCCCGCCTCCCCTCCCTCTCGCCGCGCCGGGCTCCTGCCCCTCCGGCTCCCGCGGACGGCGAGGGGAGGCGAGGCGCCGTTCCCCCCTCAAAAAAGAAAAGCTCGGTGCCGACGCTCCCCCTGCCTCGGGAGGGAAGGGAGCTAGCGGGACGAGCGCTCCCTGCGTCGGGCCCCGCGGCGCCCTCGACTCCTCCACTGAGCCGAATGAGGCCTCCTTCCCTCCCTCAGCCGGGATCCGTCCTCCCTCCCACGCCGGCGGAGCGAGCTAAAGTTAGCGCCGTTTCTCCCCCCTCAGCCCCCCGTCGAACGCAACCCAAACAAAGCGGCTCTTTTTCTCTCACACACACACCCCCCAGGCCTCACAATAGCCCCCCTCCCTCCGCTTCCTCTCTCTGCCCCGCCGCTTCGCTTTCCAGAGTGGAGGTTCGCCTTCGTTGCCCCCTCTCCTCCTCCTCCTCTCCCCCCGTCCTCCACCACCGACCCATTCCCCGGCCCGGCCTCGCCTTCCAAGGGCCTCAGCTGCAAGCCCACAAGGAAAATGGCCGCTGTTTGGCTTCGCCCTGGTAACCCTGCCCCTGCCGGGCGGGGTGGGTGAACCCGTGCGGCAGCGGGAGGAAGGGAGGGGGGGAGAGCCGACGCCATTTTCCCAGAGAGCGAGAGAGGGAGAGAGAGGCAGTGACATCGGAAGGAGCGTAGGCGGCTGCGAGGAGGGAGACACGGCGGGCAGAGCAGCGGCAGGGGGTGGTCCAGAGGTCCGAGGCGGCGGCGGCGGCGCTTCTCAGCAGGGCCCTGTGCAGTCAAGCCAAGCTAAGCCAGCCAGACCAGCTCGGGGGATAGCTCGACCCTCCTCCTCCCCCTGTCCCCGCGCCTGCGGAAGCCTCCGTCCTGCTCGCTCGCTCGCTCGTTCTCTCACCCGCGGGGGGGACCTCCGCAGCGGGACGGTTGCACTGTGGCCAAGCCGGGCGCTCGGGTCGGGGTGCCGCCGCTGCCTGGCCGGTGATCATTCCAGGTGAGTCCGGGGCCGCCGCCGCCGCGGCGATTTGTTTACGGTGCGGTTGTCATGCCCGGCGGCCGGGGCTGGCTGGGCTGGGGCGTGGGGAGGGGGGGGGAGACGGCAGAGGGAGCGTCTCTTTCCCCGAGGAAGGGCAGCAGCGGCGGCGGAGCATCGCCGCCCTCCGGGGCTGGGGGGGGGGGCGGCGGCGGCGCGTCCGTTTGGGGACCCTTCCCTATCAAAGGGCCTTTTCTTTCTTTCTAATTTTATTTTTTTTTTCAAACTCCTCCTGACGCGTGTATGTGTGTGTGTGTGTGTGTGTGTGAATGCGCGCGCGGGGGGGTGTCCCCTTTGAAACAGCCGAGGGAGTTGTGAATATGGCGCGTTTATTGTCAAGCGGCGGAGGAGGTTGTCCTTCAATGGCCGGGCTTGTTATTATTATTATTCTAATATTTGAAAAGGGGGGGGGAGATTGAAAGGTGCAGGGGAAACCTCACTGTTGGATGAAAAACGGGCCTGGGGGGGGTCGCTTTTTGTTGTTGTTTTTTTACCCCAACTGACAGAGCGCTGAACGCCGCCGACTTTCCTGAGGGGAAGCCCGGGGAAGGGAGCCCTCCTTCGCCCCTCACCTTGCTCCGGAGAGGGGCCTAATCCTCCTCCTCCTCCGCCGGGGGTGGTGGGTGGGTGTGTGGAGGGGGGCCAAGCAGGTCTCGGGACCGGGCTAGCGAACCCTCCCCGCCTCGGAGAGGGACCGGACGAGGCTTTTTATTTATAGCCGCGGGCGGGCGGGCGGGCGGCTGGCTGAGGGGACCGCTCTCCCCTTTCTGCAGAAGGCGGCGAAGGAGGAAAAAAAAGCCTCTTTTGCCCGGGGAAGACTCGAGGGGAGAGCGCCGTCCCTCCTCCTCCTGCGGATCCCGGCGTGTGAGGGAAACAAACGGTCGCCCGAAGCTCTCGGTCTTCTCTCCTCAGAGTCCCTCGCCCGGCGCGAAAGAAACCTTCGGGTCTCTGGAAGAAAAAAATAATAAAAAAACCAACGCTTTGGATTCCTTTTCGCCTCAGTTTTCTTTCAAAAAGAGCCCCCCTCTCTCTTTCCTTCCCCGTTTAACGTCGGGGGGGGGGCAGGAGAAGCCGACCCGAAGCGGGCCCGCCAAAGCAGCGCTTCTTTCTCCTCAGCGACTGGGGGCAAATTATAAAGAACCAGGAGAATAAAAGACTCGTCCCCGTCGTCGTCATCATAAGAAGTGGCGTGAATAAAAAAGCCTACATTTCCCCCCTCTTTTGTCCTTTTAAGCGGCTCTAAAAATGGCGGCCCCAAGGCTGATGTTGTGGTAATCGAATCAGCTCGGGTCCTCCACACCCCGCGCGGTGCGTTTTGTCTGCAGCGACGTTGTTCAATCATCGGGGGTTGGAGAGATTCAAAATAAAATAAAATAAATATATATATTTTTAAAAAGGGATGGGCGGGGGAGGGAGGGAAACTCTTATCGCCGCCCAGAAGAAAAACAGAAAATAAAAACAAAACCCCTCACAGATCGCCTCTTTTTGTTTTTGTTTTTTTTAACTACGGTGGAAGATGCTGATGTTCCGCTTGATTTAATTTTATCGGCTGTTTTGTGCGAAAGGCGAAGACGGTCCCTTGTGTTTTTCCTGTGGGTGGTGTGTGTGTGTGTGTTTGTGTGTAAAGTGAGTTCAGATGCGTTGCCGTATTAATCTTCCCACTTTTATTTTTAAAATGGTGGACAAGTTCCTTTGCTAGATTGGTGTGGTACCGTTCTCTACACGCGCGCACACACACACACACACACCTAAAAAAAAATAAGACACACACACACACCTAAAAAAAAATAAGAGCCAGTTATTTTAACATGGCCCATTGAAATTAGGAGGGTGCCGTCAAAATATTGCCAAAAACAAAATAGGTATCTATTAATAGTGTCTTGCTATTAGACAAAATATTCCAGAGTTCCCTGTTTCCCCCCACCCCCACCCCTCCCTTTCCTCCAGGAAATTACATAGATTTAAACTTGAGCTTTGCTTCTCTCCTTTTTGGATTTAAGCATCTAGGTTGTCTATTTCCGACAGTTTCTCCCTCTGTACCCTGAAATTCACTTTTTGTGTGACAGTTATACTTAAGCTGTTAATTAACATTGACCAATGAATAATGATTAATGCAAAAGGCAAATGATTAGCAAGCTGCTTAGCTTCGCTCCTCCCATAGTCCCCATCAAAAAGGTGTTTTCCTAATCTTTTGAAGGACTTTTGTATAAAGGTGTGTGAAACTTTTGAGTTCCTTTTATTTTTCTTTCCTTTTGCTATTTTAGTTCTTTAGTCAAGGTTTAAACTTGAAGCTGAAATCTCTTGAAATTAGTAGCAAAATACAAATATTACTTTAGGAAAACATTTTCTCCGATGGCTAATGTTACTGACTTATAATGCTAATAATTACCTCTTTACATTAATGCTAGCTTTTTTAGGCAAATGATAGGGAAAATAGTATTTAGAAGGCCGATCATGTATGGCTTCAGTACATTGTGAGGCCTATATAGCATGTAGTGTATTGTCCATAAATATTGATTTTGTCAGAAGAAAAATTAATACTTTAATTGCATGTTTTTGCATCTTTTGGAACACATATAACTTAGGAGCAAGATTCCCAAGGTTTGTGTAAAGATTGTGACAGTTTCTTGATAAAGGTATTGTTTTGGTACCCATATCTTCATTGTGGTCATAATTTGTAATTAGTGAATTTTATTCATGCCTAAAAATTGATAGGCTTAATTTTATTGCTAATATTTGGCCCAAATGTGATTGCAAAACAAAATTTATAGTGACTTTCTGGATTGCTTTCATTGGTTTCTGACAGTAACTCTATGATTTCTGTTTAATTTGCTTAAGGGAGCTGTGAGTAGAATTCTAGATTATACAGAAACCCATCTGTCAGTTCAGTCTCTTTATATAGAAATGAAACCCATCTTAAACCCTTTGTTCTACATTGCTCTCTTCTGACAATCTTGCATTCCCCAGCAATAGGCTTTAAATTGCCAAAATAATTTCTGGAAATTATTAATTCAACATCCCAAACCTGTGTATTCCTAGTTTGAAATAAGACACTTTTTTATAGGAGATATTCTCTGTTCACAGAATTGAAAGCAACAAGTATATGTGTGTGCCTATTAAGGAACAAGTATCTTGAATTTCCGGGACTTGCTTTAAAATAAATAGAATTCAATGTAAATGACAATTTTGCTATATAGATTCAGTTGGCTTCAGCACACTCAAAATACTCTCTTTTTAAAGTACTGTTCTTGCCCTTCTCTTTTACTGCATGGCAATCATCTCTGCTCTTAGTGAAGATGCTCTTTAGGCAGATCTTGATTACTATGATAGTAAGTAATACTTCATCATAGTAAAATTATTTTAAAAAAAAACAATATAAATGATAATATAGCACTTTTCTTAGTGTAGGAAGATATGCTATGAGACCTAAAATGAGAATGTTTATTAAATAATTTCAGAAAATATTTGTCTATTTAGGTATAGGACAGAATTAAGCAAAAATAAAACTCTTGAATAATAACAGTCATTCTGAAACATGATTGATTCCTTGGATCTTGTTGTATTTTTGACACAGTGTAGGGCATAATGAGATTTAATAATTTATTACATGGTGCACATTATTTCCATATATGGGTATTCAGGAATAGTTCTAATTTCCAGAGCCTATTCAAAACTAAATCCTGTAATGTTCAATGAAGCTTATTCCCAGGTATAGGACTGTAGAATTGTAATAGTAGTCAATCACAAAATGTTTATTTTTTTTTTTCAAACTATGGAAATAAAAACATAAAAATATGGCCCAGATCTCACAAAACCTGCATTTTGGTATAAAGGAATTATGTCTTTATTCCTTCTAGTCCAGGGGTTCCCAACTGGGGGTATGAGACGATATTCCAAGGGGTGTGAAAACTTGGGTTTTCAACATTATAGTGTATATGCATAATTCCTTGTCGCCATTGCAAACTTTTGTAAGGGGTGCGAGAATATATTAGAAGCATTCTAGGGGTGTGGGGTATAGAAAAGGTTGGGAGCCGCTGTTCTAGTCTAAAAAATGCATATATTATTTTATTTGAGACACATTTTAGTATCCCAAATTACATTAAAGTATGTGGTAAGCCCCAAAATATTCAAATGGTTGAGCCTAGTTTAAATTCTAGAACTTAAGTATTAAGCCAAAGAATTAGAAAATACAACAATGAATAAATGTAACTCATTAGTATGCTTTCTAATGCATTAATTGGAAGGTAATAGATTATATTAGAAGGTTTTCTGATACCATTTATAGGATACAAAATGTCTTGGGATGTACTGGTAGATCTCAAGGTAATTTAGAATGGATTGGCAAGGGTTTCCAATTCCCAATTGTTTGACAATATTAACAACATAATGGCTCACCCCTTCCCCAGATAGGTTACTGAAACTATTTTGTAGGAAAATAAAATGGATTTATAATGTGTAACTACTATTACCACCTCAATTCTGGTAGTGAAGATACCCAGAGGTCTCCTGCTTTGGATTAATGCCAGTTGTTTTTCCCCTGTAGAGTTCAGGTTGTTGTTGTTGTTTACAAAATGTTGATCTTCAAGATTGAAATTTGTCTACTTCTACACCAGAATAAATCTAAACTATACCAAATAATTTTTTGTAGTTCAAGCTAAGAAAAAGAATACAGAATAGGGATATTTCAGATGCTATATATTCTATTCTGTTCTGTTAATGAAAGCAGCCTCTGGCCATAGAATGGAATATAACAAAACTTTTGGCTTTTGCCTATGTAGAGAAAACTTCTCCATGCTGGAGTTTTCCTCAAAATGTTGACCAAGCAAACATCACAATAGAATTTCTGTGTAATTTCTAGTATAGTTAATGCACAATAATACTACCAAATATGTAATACATGCCAATAATAATATGTAATAGAAAACATAGTTTATTGTGCTATGTAACACTGACAATTTTCAGTAGCTATCTTCTCAGTCATTATCTTTTCAGTGGGCTGCCAACCAGTCAGTTGTGAGTCCCAATATCTTTAAAATTAATTACTATTATGCATTCTGATTGCATTGATTTTAAAATTAATCTCATTTGCAGATTTTCTTTGAAGATATATAAAAAAATACTTTTTTATATCTTCAAAGCATCAGAAAATTTACTTGTGAAACAGTTAACTATTTTGAAATATTACATTAGAGAGAATTAAATTTTGCTTGTAGAATTGGAGATAGGTAATTCCTATCTTCATCAATTGAAATGAAATGAAACGCATTTTTCCAATGTGAATTGTTAAACAATTGATAACTTTTAACAGTTAATGTTGGTCAATGGAAGCTTAGCCTCAAAAACTTAATTTGGATTAATTTCTTTTCTCCTTGATACTGTGATGTAAACAAACCATTTTGATTCCAAGGCTTCTATTTATTCTAAGAGTAAACTTTGGGATCTGCACTAATGATAGCATGTGCTATATACCCACTGTTATGAAACCAAATAATTGTAGTGTTAAAAAAATATGCTTATTTCACTCTGGAAGACAACTGTCCTGCCATTTATTATATTTAAGAGAGCCAGTTTGGTCTAGTTCAGGGGTATAGGCAACCTTGGCTCTTTTATGACTGGCTCAGGAATTCTGCGAGTCCACGAACCATAAAAGAGCCAAGGTTGCCTACCCCTGGCTCTAGTTGTTTAAGGTGTTGTTTAGTTGTTTGGTAGCAGGGAACCCTGGATTCTAATCATAACCTAGGCATACGAACCAATTGCATAACTTTGAGGCCGTTACTCTCTCAACCTTAAGAAGAAGAAAAACATTGCCTAGAAAACTGCAATGTTCACACAATCTCTTGGAATCAAGACACTCAAGGGGGGAAAAACTGGCAAGCATTGATCTGCATGCCTTTTGTTTAAAAAAACCACAATTCTGTAGTATTTTTATTCTTTGTCAAACATTAAAACTCCAATAACACAAATAAGTCTTTCAAAAATGTAGATCACATGGATAAAAACCTCCTCATAACATTTGTGACGTTGAAAGCCTGACAGTATTTTTCTGTTTTCCTCTCGCAGTTTCTTTTAACAGAGATGGAGAAGGTTCTCAATGTCTAATTTCTACTCATAGCATCTTGGAATTGTCAAGGAATAGCTAACTTCTACCATATTACAGTACTATGCCTATTCCTCTCAAAATGGCATTCTATCCTTTAAAAAAAGCATTCTCCTATCTGATCATTCCAAAACTATTTTGCCATTTTTACATATTTTGGGTGACTGCTGTGTCAGGGGTATTAGTCTGTACAAATCCTCTTCTCTGAAAAATGAGGAAAGATATTATAAATGCTAGTTTATTTTGGAATGGTACTACCATTATCTTTCCTGTTATTATGGGTATTAGCTGTTATTGCTATAGAAAAAAAAATTAAATTCCTATACTGAATTTTGAAATTTATCTGTGAAAATAAACATTTAGATGCTGAAGATTGTCTGACTCATCTTAAGGACTAGTAGGTAGGAGATAAATTCTTTGGATAACTGTTCCTGGCATTTTGTCTCTATCTATAGCAGTGGTTCTCAACCTTTCTAATGCCGTGACCCCATAATACAGTTCCCCATGTTGTGGTGACCCCCAACCACTTATACATCACCAGGTGCCAGGGGTGTGGCCAAAGAAAAGGGGGAAAAAATGGCAGACAGCCTTGTTTGGTGACCCCCATGAAATGGTCATTCGACCCCAAATGGGGTCCCGACCCACAGGTTGAGAACCACTGATCTATAGGCTATATAGTTCAGAAAGCCTTGGTTCTTTCATCCTGGACTGGAAAGGATGTAAAGGGTGTGGGAGTTAACACACTGTACAGATAGGATTGTCAAGAAAACAAGGCTGTAGATTTGAACCAAGATACCCATAAAGATAGGTTGGAGAAACCAGATTGAAGAGAGCTAGCCAGCTTATATCCCACTTGGTCTAGGGGTATTTACCATAGCAGCTTAGAAGCTTAGTAAATTGCTGACCTGTTCTATTTGTTACAGTGCCGCTGTTGCTGCTGCACACTGCTAAACTGTTCTGCAGCTTTCAGTCTAGTAAGAATGAGATGACATGAGCAGTTGAGTCCTTTCTGACCTTGTAAAGCTGCTGATTCTGGCCTAGATCTTCAATCAAAACAGCTCTTTGTTCATAAACTACTACTCTGCTAAGCCACCTGTCTTGCTTCCACATGCCCAGGTTTAGCATATATGTAGTGTGATTTGGGGTGGGGGGAGGATATTAGAAAGTGAAATGACAAGCAAACATTGTAAATAAAACTGTAATCAAAAGTGCCATGATTGCTTTTTATTTTCTAATAAAATTTTCTATTCTTGATGGCATGTCGAATACAGAATTTCCAGCTGGAAATATTTAGAATTCTTTGTACATAAATTATAAGTTACCTGGTACTGCAGAGTGGGAGGGAGGGAGAGACTGAAGGAGGGAGGCAGGAGAGCAAGGGAGAGAAATATACACAATGAACTAGTATACATGATATATTTATAAAAGCAGATCAGTAAATTGGAATTTTTTGTATGTGTGGTTTTAATCATAATTATTTGCATTTATTTTGCTTTGAAGATGTTAGGATCAGATTGTCTTCTCCAGCAGTATTCCAATTTAATATTGGGAGTGGTAACTTAGTAGATAACGTAGAATTCATTTAAGTTCTCATGTATCTTTCTGCTTTTATTATATTTATGTTCTTATATTCTGGAAGCTTATGGTAATGCGTATGAAAGTCTTCCCTCAGTTTATCCTTTTAGCAGCCCCGTGTGTTACATTAGGTTGAGAGATGGCATCTTGGCGTCAAATTATCCAAGTAAGCCTATTACCGTACATCGCCTGACTTTTGGTGGCTGGCTTTGGGGGTTTTACTCTTTGCTTTATTTGGTTCTTATCACAGCAGGTAGCAGCACCAAGATGATCTTAGCTGATCATTTAAAAAACAAAACCAAGCTAGGGTAAATAGAGTTAGTGCTTGGATGCTATCAACACAAGGGCTATATTAGACTAACCTGAAAAAGGCAATGGCAAACTTTGATAGCGTTGTCAAGAAAACTGCTTGAAAAAGTGTTCATGTCGTGATCAGGAATTGAGTCTGACTTCAGAGACGCTTTACCTCCATTTTTATACCGTCCCTTGCATGATTTAGCATATTATATATCAGTAGTTTTTGAAGTCCTGACCTTCTTTAATAGTACCACTAAAACTACCAATTGTTAAAAAAAATAAAATGTTGAACACATTTTAAAGCAGGGCTCTTCAAACTTGGCCCTTTTATGACTTGTGGACTTCAACTCCCAGAATTCCTCACCATATCCAACACAGGATCCTCTTCCTATTTTCCCCATAACAACAAGTGAGTTGGGCTGAGAGAGAGTCACCTCGCTTGGCTTTCATGGCTAAGGCACCCAACTCACACACAGGGACTCCCCCTTAATCAATTTAACATGTTTTTCTGTCAGTAATTTTCTAACATGCCATGTTTCAAAGTTTTTGAGCAGCAGTGTGTAAGATATGCAGGGTATTATTATATAATATTCTCCATTTTGGTTTGTAACAAAAGTAGAAATATATGTGAATCTTGCCCGAAAAGGACTGTACCTCAGTGTTCTAAACTACATATCTTTCCTCACTTGATTGCCTCTCTACTTTCCTTTGGGAAAATCCTCTTTTTTTCCTGAAACAAAGAGGGCTGTGTCTGCTACCTTGGCTCTCAGTTGCAAACTACTCCTATAGTAGCGATCCATCCGCAAATTTTGTTCCCAAACTATATTTTAGTCACTGCTTGTGCGGTAAATATCCGTATGAATTATTTTCTTGTTTGAAATATTTGCGTTGACTATGAGAGCACAATGCATTTTAAAGTAGCTCCTGTTACTGAATGAAGTTATATGGACAAAGTTTTAATCTTTTAGAACATTGATATTAACAACATGGTTATAAGATGCCTATTGCTTTCAGGTAATAAAGATGGGTTACAGCAGTTGGTTGAACAACTTCATCCAGACAGTAGTAATGAATGGAACAACGTCAGACTGCAAAGAGGTATCTAGTGAGATTCCATAAAAAAAACAAAAAACAGTTCTGAATGTAGTGTAGTTATCTTCATTTAACTACTTCGCTGAACACCCAAGAGTTTATATCTTAACCAATTGGAAATATTTAAAATTTTTCCAGTTGCAAACAGTGGGCCAACAATCCTATTCTGGGCTATATTTAAAGAAGTACATTATTTAATAAATTTTAAGTAGCAGAACTGACTGTTCTTAATGCCCCTTAAGTTCTCTTGATATGCTTCAAGATTTGGCTTTTTGAAAAGACTCAGGAAGACAAGCACACATACAAAAAACCTTTTTGATCTTCTTCTGGCTTAACAGGACATTTTTGGCTTTTCAACTAAGTTCTGAAAGAATATTTTATGCATGTCAGTGCTACAGTCTTGAAATTAGTTGTTGCTATTAGCTCCTCTTCTCTTAAATAGTTGTTGGAGTCACAGCTAATGCTTTCCCCTTATTAAAAAAATGCTAAAAGGGGGCAGCATAATTTGGGATGTGGAAGACTTTATAACCTATTATGTTTGACACATTAATTAAATTTAACCTTACTGATCCAAAGGGAATTTTTCTTAACATAATAGGGTGCTGTATTTCTTAAGTATTATTATAGCCAGACAAGATCCTAGCTAAAATTATGTGGGTATTCTTGCATTTTATGTTCCTAATAAGCAGAGTGGAACATAGAAACCACCACTTTTTTTTTTTTTGAAGTTTGGACTGCTACCTTTAAAAAGTAGTATTCAAAATACTGCGTTAGATCTAGATTTAGTCATAGCAAAGAATGGTAATGTCTAACTTGTCCATTTTATTTCAGTTAGGCCTTTTCTAGACATAACTTAAGTCCAAATCCTAACCATTAATTTAAAAATAATTGTTGTGAGATTATATATATAGATTATACACACACACACACACACACACACACACACACACACACATAGTATCTCCTATTCAGTGAGACTTTTTCTGCTTAGAAACCAATTTTTTCTATTCTGCATTTTTCTGGCAGATGTGTCAGTTTCATTCCTGCTGAGGCAGTCAGAACAGATGGTAAGCAACGTAATAGTTCAGACAAATTAGGTGTGCTTGATATGTCCTGTTCCATGCATACTTTAAGATAGTAAATGTTTTCTAATAGGGAGAGTGATATAGTGAACGTAAACTTTACAACTCAATTGATTAAGTAAGGTTTTTTAAAAAAAACATTAGATAAAATAACTATATTTGAGCATCTTCATTTAAAAAATAGTTCAGCTGCAGAGGCCAAAGTTTAAGGCAGATAAAAACTCCCATTTCCATGAGATCTGAGCATCACAATAAGACAGAAATGATATTTTATCAATATCACGTATTCCAAGAAACGGTGATGAAAGTAACATTTCTTTTGATTTTCTGGAACTATAAACCCATCTTGCTCACAGTATTAGGAGTGTCAAAGGATAGCATATAGCAGGGGTCTTCAAACTTGGCCCTTTTATGACTTGTAGGTTTCAACTCCCAGAATTCCTCAGCCAGGCACGTGTGCCTGGCTGAGGAATTCTGGGAGTTGAAGTCCACAAGTCATAAAAGGGCCATGTTTGAAGACCCTTGTGATAGATGATTGATAGATGATAGAGATAAATAGGCTAGATAGAGATATATCGATAGATGGATGAGAAAGATAATAGATAGATATAGACAGACAGACAGACAGACAGACAGACAGACAGACAGACAGACAGACAGATAGATAGATAGAGTAGACCAAAGGACTTCAACCTTGGCCCTTTTATGACTTGTGGACTTCAACTCCCAGAATTCCTCAGCCAGGCATGCTGGCTGAGGAATTCTGGGAGTTGAAGTCCACAAGTCCTAAAAGGGCCAAGTTTGAAGACCCCTGGCATATAAACTCAAAGGAATGTAAACAAATGAGAACACATAAAAAATAAAGGCATAGAACATTCTCCAGCAAGTGAGGTTTCATATTAAATAGTACTTGGGGTAAGAACCATTAAGAGCAAGCCCCCAAAGCAATTCTCCCATTGTAGAAATTTCTATAGGTGTCTACCTCTTTGACATGAGAAGAGAAAGGTGATTTACTCAGATGGATATGTTGAGGGGTGTGGGGAGGACCTCAGAACTATAGGACTTCCATCGAAGTTCACCCGAAAGGGGAAAAAAAGCAGGGCAACTTTCTATCCCTAGCATCAGGGCTTCCTTTCTTGGTTGCAATCCTAAATGTACTTAACTGGATTTTAAGCCCTGTTCGAAATCACATTTGACTACCATCCCAACAGCTGGAGTGGAGGCCAGAGTTTGTCAGACTGTCAAACCTGAGATTTGGATGGCAAAAAGGCACTTGAGGGTCTGACTTCCTCTGGCTGCTCTGTGGTAGACAGAGAAATTAATTGTAGAGGGCAAGTTTTCATTGAGCCACTTACATGATGGATCTTCACGATAAATTATCAGATTTTTCCAGTAGGCCACCTTTATTTGCCGAGAAATCTCCAGTTCTCTTTGTTGGGCTATAACTATTAGAGCAGAATAATGCAAATGAATCTATATCTAGCAGTTTGCAAATTTTGACGCCTGAGCTTTCTGCCCCTATACAGAATGGCTAACCCAAATAAGTAAGTTTATTTTGAGAGGATCATAATAAAATTAACAAATGTGTATCAGGTTAGAGAAACTGGCCAGAGTCGCTTCAACAGTGAGATGCGCGGCACATAACTTAGTAAAAAAATAAATTTACTCCTGTTATACATTAGGCTGCAATACTAAACACAGTTGAGAATGTGTCATTAAACTCAGCAAGATTTTGTTTGAATATGATTATACCATGAATCAGTGTTTTTCATTTTTAAATGTTAGATTCATTCTGGAAAAAAAATATGTGACTTTTCAACTTTTGTCGTTGTTGTTGAACAGAGTTTGTGGATGCACTTAGATGTTTGCAATGAGCACTGTGGCTGGCATGCCCCAGTGTTTTGGATACCAATGCATAGAAATCCATAGTAAACGAATTTATCAGAAACGAACGTCATGAGCATAGTGGTCCCGTTGGGGGTTGATACAGCAGAAACATCTTATTTGGAAATGGCTGCAGGCTCAGAGTAAGTATCAGAGCATTATAGCAACTTCGTCTTCCTATTGTGTTACATTGTTTTCATTGTTAGCGTGCAGTATATGTTACCAAATTTCAGTAGATTTGCTTTCTGCACAAAAGTCAGTGTGCAGAAGGATTAATATTAGTTGAATTTTTCCAAAATAGGTGAATCAGATTTTTAAACTTGGTAAATTTAAATATGTTCAGATATAATTATAGTGTGAAGTTTAAGAATAGATTTTTTAAAAATGTTATTATTACTTCATCTTTTGAAACAAGTTTGTTAATTATATTTTTCATGAAGAAACTTTATATTTTACTTGAGGGTTATTTGGGCTACCCAGAATTAATATATTCTATCTAGTAGAAACTGGGAGAAGGTGAATTTCTGGATGCTGGTACGGACATTCCAAAGGATAACTTCATTTAGTTTCTTTTATAATAACCATGTGAAATTCAACTTGTGTGGGGACTTGTGGAGCTACTCTAAGGCTACCACTAGATGTCACTGATGAAAATTACTGGGGTTTCAGATACTGTTAACAACATATGGGATGTCTCCTACGTCTCATATGTGATCGCAGAAACAATAAGGATTGTTGATGCTAATGTGCTCTCTGCCTTGCAGTCATTTTTCGTACAGCTGTGTTGTGTTGTACAACATTGCCTGTGTTATTAAAATTCATTCAGTGCTCACTTGCTAGTATGTGGGCTTCAGTGGCAATTTGGCATGAGTGACATAAGCAACATTTTTCCAGTTCCTTCAGTGGGTTCCTTCAGAATGTTTCTCTGCATTGTATTGTGTACATTTTCACAGTTTGTTGTATGCTCAGCATTCATAGGCAAGAGAAAAACACATGCGGGAGCCATTGAATGTGAAATTATAATGTTTTATCACCTTTCTTGCTTTTCAGACCTGAATCTGTAGAAGCTAGCCCTGTGGTAGTTGAGAAGTCAAACAGTTATCCACACCAACTATATAATAGCAGCTCTCATCATTCACACAGTTACATTGGTTTGCCTTATGCGGTATGTTCTTTTTTTAAAGCCTTTATTTTAGATCCTTTTTAAGTTTCCAGACATTTAATTGTGTTTTGGCGAGTTAGTTTGGCTTGATATGAAAGTAGCTCGCAGGCGTATCCAAACTCGACGTCATTATAGAAGATACTGGTTTCAGTGGTTCTTTACAATTGTTATCTCAAATTCGTCTGCTATTACAACTGTCATTGTTTTGTCTTGAACAATAGAATTGGGCTTATACATCAGTTGGAAGCTAAAATTACGATAGTATTGCCCTTGACCAGCCTGATCTTATAAACCTAATCCTACGGCAATTAAAGCTGGAGCTTTGCCTTATTTGCCATTACACTTCCTTTGACTGCTGTGCCTTTAAACAATTGGCACAAATTACATTTTCCTTTAAAACGTCTTCAGACAGCAAAGCTTTCCTACAGCAAAGTCTCCAGTTGCACATAAAGAAACCAGCATGTTGGAGCAGCAAGAAGAATAACATCCATTCAAGTCCATTTTGAATGTATTATTGCTCTGTCTTGTGTTCAAATAGAATTTGGTGCAATTTCCTTGGCTGCTTTATCGTTACCCAATCACCTGATCAGATCACTACTTGTTTTAATGTAGCATCTTATAAAATTGTTGCTTGCAGCAATGACTCAGTAAAGTAGGGTTTTTCCTTCTCTAAGTAAATACCCCCTAAATCAATTATTACAACTATATAAAAAAGATGGAAATTTTAATCCTGCATTGAAGGATTCATCTTCTGCTTAAATGAAATTAGTATTTATACTGAGAAAGAATATGTGCTTTCTCTGATAGTCTTAACATTTGGCCTGAATAAGTACGTCGTATAATATCATAATTGAAGAACCCTAGTTTGTATTTAGTCCGACCCAGCAATGTGCTTTGCGATGCCTAACTATTTCCCTTGATGTAAACATTAACGATGATCAGATTTTGTTTATTCAGGATGGATAAGAAATGAATATGATAAAACCTCAGTAGTGTCAGAATGGATAAAGTAATATGCATTTTACTGACAGTGAGGACAATTAACCAGTGGAACAGCGTGCCACCAGAAATCATGGGTGCTCCATCACTGGAGATTTTTAAAAAGAGCCTAGACAGTCACTTGTCTGAGATGGTATAGGCTCTCCTGCTTGAGCAGGGGGCTGGACTAGAAGACCTCCAAGGTCCCTTCCAGCACTATTCTATTCTATCCATTTCCTTTTTAAAAGAATGGTAAATATTACTTAATGCTAATTTGCTTCAGAGGTTTTAAACATATATTTGTTTACACAATCGTAAGTGAAGTTGAGTTGGTGGGAGAAATGTTGAAAAGGTCAGATTTATAATTCTATGCATGAATTAAAAAAAAAGGTCTTATGAAAAGTTGGATGATTTTTATATAACTAATTTTTTCAGGACCATAATTATGGCGCTCGTCCTCCTCCAACACCCCCAGCATCGCCGCCTCCTTCCGTTCTTATAAGCAAGAATGAAGTAGGCATATACACTGCTCCAAATTTTGATGAGACATCCAGTGCTACTACTATCAGCACATCTGAGGATGGAAGCTACGGCACTGATATAACTCGATGCATTTGTGGATTCACCCATGATGATGGCTATATGATCTGTTGTGACAAATGCAGGTAAAATAACGGTAGTCCATATGCGCAAGCATTTTGAAACATTTATACCTAGTATTACTTACTACCAGCTATGCTGGTCCTCTGGTTGTTCGGTGAGATTTCCCTCACTAACAAAGTATGTAGGCAATTAGGCAAATGTGGCAGCAATAGAAGCCATCACCATTTTGTCATTGTGTTGGACACCCTTTTGCTCACAGGATGGATAGATGAGATGACAGGCCATCAGGTCAGCAGAGACTCTGCAAGTGGGGATCAGGCTAAAGATCATAGCTCAGAACTGTGTGATAAGTAGCTAGGAGTCCTGGCAGCTCAATGGTTAGAATGCAGGATTGCTGGCTAACTCTGCCCACTGTCAGGAGTTCAATCCTGACCAACTCAAGGTTGACTCAGCCTCCATCCTTCCAAGGTCAGTAAAATGAGGACCCAGATTGCTGGGGTGCAATACACTGAGTCTTTTTAACCCGGTTAGAGAGGGCTGTAAAACATTATGAAGCACTATATAAAGTTTAAGTGCTATTGCTATCTAAACCGTAATGGCGCAGTGGTTAGAATGCAGAATTGCAAGGTTAACTCTGCCCACTGTCAGGAGTTCAATCCTGACCAACTCAAGGTTGACTCAGCCTCCATCCTTCCAAGGTCAGTAAAATGAGGACCCAGATGGCTGGGGGCAATATGCTGACTCTGTAAAACTCTGCAAATCGCTTAGAGAGCACTGTAAAGCAGTATATAAGTCTTAAGTGCTATTGCTAATGAACAAAGGTCTGTTTTGTGGAATCTTTGTATAGTTGTATGCAAATTATATAACTATAATTCTGAAGGTGCTGCATGTCTGACAGATATGGTGAGAGTTAAAATCTCAGAGCACTGTAATGGGAAATCTTGATGACGATGTAGCATGTGTTTTAGCAGCAACTTTCTTTTGAACTTGGCAAATGTATTGGAGAAACTGCTATCCAGAAAAATATCTGTGCCCATTTTAACTTTTCAGTCAGAAAGTAACTTTCCGAATGATCATATTGTTAAAATTGAAGAATAGGCAAGTGCATGAAAGAAAGGAACAAGTGTCTGTACCTAGCTTGGAATAAAACAATCCCATCAGAACGTTCTGTCCAAGCAATGGGAACTTGAAACAAGCTCTTTGCTGTTATCTTTTGTCCTAGGGACCATGCTGAGTGCTACCTTCCATCCCACCTACAGAAGAATTAGCCAACATAAAACAAAGCAAACATTTTAAAAATTACCAGAGCAAACAAAGGAAGCAACAGCTAAGAATGGCTTTTGCAGTCTGACCTGCTTTCACAAGGAGCTGTAGAATAAACCTAAAAGGAAGCAGTAGCAATGTATTCACATTAATACAGCCCATGACCAACAGCAAAAATATACTTTTCTGGCTTAATGCTTCTTCCAAACAAACATTCACAATGCACATATGTTGCCAACCTGCCTCTGTATTAAACATATTAACAAAGCCATACATTTTGCATTTGACTATGTCCACGTTTGAGAGTACAGCAACATCTATTACAGTATACATGCAGACTATAAACTCAGGATTTGGTATCCTGCCTGAAAATAAAAGCACAACACAGAGACAGACAGTAACATTGCTGCCTTCTTCATAACAAATTGTTTAAAAACAAGAGTAAAAGCAGCTAGGCAAAGAGGAATATATATATAGCAGGGGTATCAAACTGCCGGCCCATGGGCTGGATGCATCATGCCAAAACCGCGCCCACCCCATTGCTGGCAATGGAAAAAAATTCACAATAGGTCGCAACACAAGTTTGACACCCCTGATATATATAGAGAAATGATTCTGCCTCACCCCAGCCCTGTTCAATTAGCTTGGCTGATGGCAGAGGATTGAAACTGCTTATCAGCTAATGCTTTCTTCAAGGCTTTGTGGCTTTAGAGGAGTTACAGAAACAAAACAAGCCACGTGCAGGATATCCAAACACTCAAAAAGAGAGTAATGTAGCACTTCATTATTTAGAGAGGAGACTATTTGAAACCACAGTAATGGAGCACTCCCTACATTTTGCATATCATAATTGCAAATGATAGCAGGTGTTAGGGAAAATAATTTTCTTCAGTCACTAGGAAACTTGAATGAGCTGTCTAAACCTTGAAAAGTATGAAGATAACACTGTATTCTCTCCTTTTCTTTAAGTGTTTGGCAGCACATTGATTGCATGGGGATTGAGAGGCAGCATATTCCTGACACATACCTTTGTGAGCGTTGCCAGCCTAGGTGAGTGGTGCATAATTGAAAATATATTATTTGTGTTGGCACATGATCTGAAACACGGACAGAATACGAGCAGATAAAGATAAACATCTCCATTATATCCATACATTTGAATATTATATTAAAGAGGACCATTTATTTTAAAAAATGGCACTCTTCAGTAAAAAATAGTCTTTTTTCATAATGATATTTGAATTAAGGAAGATTTAATATTTATTACCTTTGAACGTTAGCTTTACCTTGCTTCATTTTATTATTGGAATAAATAATCATCATTATCAGCACAGGCTGACAGCTTCCATGCCACACCGCATTGAGGCAGTAATTGCTGCAAAAGGGGCCCAAACTAAGTACTGAGTACATATGCATGCTTATACTTTTCAGAGGTCCGATATTGTTCTATGTACAATCCTTATTTTATTGATTGCATGTAATTTTCCAGCAATTACTGCCTCAATGCGGCGTGGCATGGAAGCTATCAGCCTGTGGCACTGCTGAGGTGTTATGGAAGACCAGGATGCTTCAGTAGCGGCCTTCAACTCTTCTGCATTGTTCGGTCTCATGTCTCTCATCTTTCTCTTGGCAATGCCCCATAGATTCTCTATGGGGTTCAGGTCAGGCGAGTTTGCTGGCCAGTCAAGCACAGGAACCCTTTGCAGGTGTTATGTTAATTAGCTGATTAGAGTGGGACACTTTGAGCCTAGAATATTGAACCTTTACACAATATTCTAATTTTCTGAGATTGTGGATTTGGGGTTTTCATGAGCTGTAAGCCATAATCATCTCAGTTATGACACATCACGGCTTGAACTATCTTGCTTTGCATGTAATGAGTCTATCTCATATATTAGTTTCACCTTTTAAGTTGCATTACTGAAATAAATGAACTTTTGCACAATATTCTAATTTTTCAAGTTTCACCTGTATTTGCCAGATTTTTTTTTTAAAAAAATACCCATAGTGCAGTATAGGCATTCTGTTATTGTATTACAAGAAACAAACCCAGTTTGAGACGGTTTCTATGTTTTGAATATTGTCAGAATACAAATCTTGCTTTTAGGAGGGTTAGTCTGTCTCTCTTAAGTATGAAGCTGGAATACTAAAGTAACAGAGATTTAGATGACACTGCATTGCTTAAGTTCTGGGCTTTGAAATTGATGCTTTCTACCAAGTATAAAATTCCCAGAGTGGAGAGTTCTAGGCTAAAAGTTTGATATTATATTCAAAGAGCAAAAACGAATGAATTAGTATGGTGAGCGGATACAGCCATTTTTATTTTAATTGTTTATTACATTTAATACGCATATACCATTTGTTAAAAAAAATTTGATATTCCGTCAAAATCTTAATATTTACTTAGTTTCTTTTTTCCTCTTTTAAAAGGAGCTTAGATAAAGAAAGAGCAGTGTTGCTCCAGCGTAGAAAAAGGGAAAATATGTCAGGTAGGTTAAAAAAAAAAATCATTAAATTCTAAGGTTTGTTCTTGATAATTATATTGATGCCAAGCACTGTTGCTGTTCATACCCCCCCACCCAGTTTTGCTAAAAAAGAAACATCCTTTAAGAAGTATAGATGGAAAGTTTTTATTTGCTAATAAAAACCTGTTTGTATGCAAATAGCTCACCAATCTTTATGCAAATAACTTAACAGTATTTGTTTACAGAACATTTTTTGAATATTTTCCTTCCAAGACAAATGCATATTGTTTAAATTAACCAAGTCTTGTAAAATTATTTCCAGTGTTTTTAGTTAGCTATTATGCTTGTAATAAAAATAACAACTCAGCAGTAACATTTGAAGGAAGCTTGGTGGCTGTGCCAAGTCTTTACGTCTTGCTTCTCAGTTTTGCGAAAATTGGTTGTCCTACTGGTGATACGAAGATGCTGGAGTTTGTTTATTTTACAATATTTGTCGACTATTCCAATCATTGAACACTCTACAGTCTACAACTGCCACCGGTTCAGCTCATTCCCCTCCCCTGCTACTACTTTTCTAGGATGGTTGCGTGCCACCTGCCAGGTGCCAATGTACCACAGGTGGTACCTGTACCACTGGCTCAGGAATTCTGGGAGTTGAAGTCCATGAGTCATAAAAGAGCCAAGGTTGCCTATCCCAGTCCTATTTCATACATTTTGGTAATTGTACATGCAGTTACTATAGTTTAAATCAGTGGTTCTTAACCTGGGCGATATCGCCCCCCAGGGGGCGATTTCATTTTTCAGGGGGGCGGTGGAACGAAAAGGGGCGACACGGGGGCAAAGGAACGAAAAGGGGGCGATATGGGGGTGATGGAGCAAGAAGTTTTGGGGATGCTTTTGAGACTTTTTCATACAGTGAATGGCTGTATATCTGTCATACAAAAACATCAGATTGCTCGCTATTAATGGATTGAATTGTGTTTTCAAATGTTCCTCCAGCTAGCTTCAGTACAGAACGCCGTACATATGTGAATATGCATCGCTTATCTTCATGCAGCAGCCTCTACCCATACAGTGGCACGCCATTATACAGAATAGGGGAGATATGGGGAAAAGACTGGAAATAAATTATTTGCATCGATATGTCCTGATGACAATTTTAAAGAAAACAAAAAAAGTGTTTGCATAAATTGAAGAATTATTTCCTATGTTGTGATTGAGGGGTTATGTTGGGGGAGGGGGTGATGACAACTTCCTCATTGGCTCAAGGGGGCGATTCGTTCAAAAAGGTTAAGAACCACTGGTTTAAATCATCAATGGCTTAATTCATGGAATATTTCAGTCCTGTGAGATAATTTTCTTGTTCCATTTGTATTTTAAAGATGGGGATACCAGTGCAACAGAAAGTGGTGATGAGGTTCCTGTCGAATTATATACTGCTTTTCAACACACACCAACTACAATTACGCTAACTGCTACACGAGTTACAAAGGTCACAGATAAGAAAAGGAAAAAAAGTGGAGAGAAAGAGCAAACCATCACAAAATGTAAAAAAGTAAGCTAAAACTTAAGGCTTATTTTTATTTATACATTTTAAAACTGCCTGTCCTTTTCACGAAGGTGGCTTCATGTAAGCCGAGAGAGCCGTGTGGCCCCCCACAAAGTAGGAGCCATGAGTTCGGCTTCTCACTCCCTATCAACACCAACTGGGACTGGCCTTGGGGGAAAGAGGTGAACCAGCACAGAACTGTGCCACCCCCTCCCCCCACACATACACAACTCAAAGGACAGCACAAAGGAACACCCATGGTTGATCGAAGGCCTCCCAGAGATCAAGAAGAGCGTGGATGGATGCATCACTTCCATCCCGCCACTGTTTTGGTCCCATATCTGGGCCTAAAACCTGACTGAAAAGGGTCCAAATATTCCGCTTCCTCCAGGATTCTCTGGGGTTACAACACCCCAGCTTCTGCACGAGGGAGATCAGACAAAAATTGTTCAGAACAGTGGAATCCAGCGATGGCTTCTTAAGGAGGAGGTGCACCAACACCTCTTTAGATAAAAGGAGCCAGGAACACCTGCTCCCACAAGGTTGATGTTCAGTTGCTCAGCACTTCTTAGACACTGTAGTATCCACAATATAATCTCTGACGTGTGGAAATCGGACATTAAAAGAGGTGGAGGAAATAAAAACAAAAACTGAAGGATCTCCTCTCTTGATTCTAAAAAGGAGGATGTTAGTAACAAGAACTGGTCTGTATCGGAACTGGTTGATATAAAGAGCATAGAAATAGCACAGAGAGACAGTGGTCCTGAGATCAGGTGAAAATTGGCGGAGGAAGATATTAGCTAGGAAGTAATATTGACATATAAAGTTACACAACCTCTTACTGTAGCCTCCTCATTGCTACATACTTCCCCACAATTTGGTGGAACTCACACTGGGCATTCCACACATAGAATAATTACATTCTACTACCGGCAAAACATAAGGAGAATTTGTCTGCGTTTCACAGTGCCGCCGAAGGTTTTTTGTCTTCTGCAGCACAGTGATGATGATGAAAAGATGAATATTTGCAGATGAATCTTCCTTCAGAGAATATTTATTTTAATCTTGAACGCTGATGTAATTTTTTTTAGGCTTTCCGTGAAGGTTCCAGAAAATCTTCAAGAGTTAAGGTAAAAATATGTTGTTTATGTTTTTGTTACTATTTATTTCACTATACTAAGGAATACCCTTTTGTTCATTGATTAATGCGCGTCAAAGGGTTAGTTATCAAGCATGTTTTATACTGTTTTAAATCTTTGTATCTTCTTATTTCTAAAACTAATGGCTAAGGTGGCCAATTGCATCGAATGTTCATAAAAGATTAAGTTAAAAATACAACGTAAATGCTACGTAACACAAAACCCCCCCAGAGATGTATAAATATTGCCTGTAATGCAATTGAGCTATTACAGTAACTTGAAGGGCAGTTAATAAACTAGTATTCCCCAGTAAGGATGCTGGCTAGATGTTTGACTGCACTCCCAATCTTCTCAACACTGGGCGTGGTGCCTGGGGAATTTGAGGGTTTGAAGCTGTAAGATGACAGCTTCATCTGCAGCACATACTTTCAAGGGCAGCTTTGAAGAGATAGAATAAAGTAGATTGCCAAGAAAAAGATTTCTAGAGCCATGAAAGAGCCTCTTAAAAAGGCCCATTCCAGGTCTGTTGGTTGATAATATACCTTTGGAAATCCTCTCACAGTAGAGTTCATATAAACGCTAACCATATTGTTTAAAGGGATACAAAGAAAAGTGTTGGGAGGGAAAACAAGCAAATAGGAGATACCTAGCATTGCACCTGACTTCTTTAAGGGAAACTAGAACCACAATAAAAGTGTGTCCCTAAATCTTAATTAAAGAGTTGTGGGGATGGTGCAGTGGTTAGAATGCAGTAGTCCAAAACTAGCTCTGCCAACTGCCAGCAGTTCGATCCTGACCGGCTCTAGGTTGACACAGCCTTCCATTCTTCCGGGGTTGGTAAAATGACAACCCAGATTGTTGGGGGGCAAACACGCTGACTCGGTAAACCGCTTAGAGAAGGGCTGTAAAGCACTGCGAAGCGGTATATAAGTCTTAAGTGCTTATTGCTATTAATCTAATAGAAAAATGCCTGTTACCAAGACAGAAACACTGTCATTTGTGTACAATTGTGCTGGGCCACTAGCGTGGATCAGCTGAGAACGTAGCATCGGCAGTCTGGCTTCCATAAAGTAAAGCAGTTGGGTTTCGTGGGATTGAGAGAATCTGTGAGCAGGAAAACTGACAAAAAAAAACAAAAACCAGGAAAGTGAAGAGTATCTTAACTTTGAGGTTTTTATTTCAGTTAAAGGTGAGGCGCAGGAGCAGGATTTGATTGAAACTCCAGGGGAAGGTATGGTGAATGTCAAGAGACCATATCATTGAGAGCCCTTAATTTTGTAGAAAAATTGCTAAATTTCATGCATCTTGTGCACAAATTAGGTAATTATGTTTTTCACGGATGTTTTGAGTCAACCTGGCTCCGAAAACATGCCCTCCATTTACGTCTGTCTCTCTATTTTTCACGTAGGGCTCGGCTCCGGAGATCGATCCTTCTGATATTTCAAACTTTGGGTGGGAAACTAAAATCAAGGCATGGATGGACCGATACGAAGAGGCAAGCAACAATCAGTACAGTGAAGGTGTTCAGAGAGAGGCCCAGCGAATAGTTTTGAGATTAGGAAATGGAGATGAAAAAAAAGAAATGGTCACCAGCAACTCCATCTTCAAACCTCCAATAGAGGTACATGGATGCATCTTGGAAGAACTTTTAATTTAACGTAGCGTTAAAATTTTTGCATTTCCTTATGCCAAATATCATGGTATTGAAGGTGTGGCTTCCCCCTTCCTAATGAGCAGTCATTTATTTATTTATTTATTTGTCATGGGTTTATTTACTTTCTAAAATAGCCAGCTATTGGTGGGGAACGGTTTCCAGTCGTGACTTTCAATTATCACAATAAATACTTTACAATTTATTTATAGACTGCAATAAATAATACTACAAACCGATGTTTTAAGGTACACAAGCATTAATAAAAGTGTTCACGGTTTTATGGAAGATTAAATTCTAATTATCCACAGAACCATTACAAAATTAAATAGCTTTATCTCTTAACTTCGAAGTAGAAAAATAACTGAGTAAAATGGAGAATTAAAGCTTTCAGCCACTATCGGTAGCTGACAGTCATTTTGTGTCATGCAGAAGTTGTTGGAGATGGAATTGTGAGAGTCTGGTTAGCCTATGACTCATTCACAAATGGTTTCCTTTAATATTAAGAACACTTCAACATAACTAGGAGAAAATAGATGTTTTTTTGATATACAAGAAAGAACTGGCAAGAAATGTAATAAGATTCTGTAACAAAATGAAGCTTACACTGTTTTCATTTCCATTTTAAACCTCAATGAAGCTCTCAATCCATATTCTGATGTGTTTATCATTGCCAAAGACATTTCAATCATATATTTTATGATTTTATGTGTGTATTCATAAGTATTGAAAAAAATGATAAGGGAATGGAAGAAAACAACTTGCATGTATACTATTACATGTGTAATGTCCTTGAAAACACATCTTTAGTTATTTATTGGAGAATTTATGGATTAACTGAAAAATAAGAAGCAATATTAAAATGTAAAAATATCCATGATAAAACCCTATTTGGCTTAGGTTATCTTAAGATCCAGGAATTTCTGCCTTCCATTTCTGTGGCACAGAAATGTTACAGTCCTGATCGTTTAAAGTGAGGCACACAATTGTCTGCTATAATTGGTCCAGACAATTTGTAATTAGAGAATATTAACTCCATCCTCCAAGGTGACAGATAGGACAATTCAAAACTGTGTGACCATCTCAATTTCAATGACACAAATAGCATTTCAGCCACCCCAGCTGAGCATTAACATGCCTGATCTGTCAGCTGCTAATCAAGAAATCAATATATATACATATGGAAAATAACATATAGATGGAGCATTTGTTTTTTTTTTTACATTTTATTTATTAGATTTAGAGTTGTGTTCTTCTTTGACCCTGGGTAGCTCACAGTATAAAACGTGAATATGAAAAATACAGACATAGTCTTAAATTAAAAAATTGAGATCAAAAGTGAGCAAATACTACATTTTAATTAAAGGATCCTTCAAAACCCTTTGCTGCTGTATTCATTTTAAACACCATTGATCGAAACAAAGACGTCTTAGCATTTTTCAGTCTCTTTCACTAGTAAAACTGAAAAAGAATTGAAACCCATAAGCTTGTTTTTCAGTGGTGCAATGATGTCAAAGTCATAAAATATGGACAATAAATCCATATTTAAGTATTGAAAAATAACATTTACTTACAAATTGTAACAAAAGATACTGATAAAATATTTTAAACAAAGTTTGGGCCAAAAGTTACGTAGATGTTAGCTTCCGTGCTAAATGTTTTGAACTTGGGACAAACATTTGCATTCTAAAGGTTTTGTTGAGCTGTTTCAGATTAGCCTGTGGTTTGGCAGAACCAAATCCAAGCCTGAATTGCTTAGGTTGTTCCAGGTTTTGGCAAAATCTAGAGAGAGCAAAGAGGGGAAAAATGGTCTCCATTGCATCTAACAGCACATCCAACTGGCCTACTAAATCCCTGGTTTTCTGATCTTCCTTTCAGTTACCACTCCTCATATCCCAGCATATCCTAGCAGCTGTCTTATTTACTCCCAGCATTTTTTCTCCTATCAAACCACAGACAATGGAGTCCCAACATAGCATATTTTACCACCCTACCTGTATTACTAAGCTTCCCAGGATTGTTTTGTCTTTCTCAAGTCTTCCCAACCCCTTTTATCAGGAATGGAACATGCACCATTTTGTTCTGTCCATGGAACAAATCAGCCCAAATGGGCATGTTTCGGTTCAGGCACAACTGTCTAAAACCAGCTGTTGTGCGCAGAATATTTTTGCACATCCCAATTATTGGCTCTGGTAGTGTATGCAGGCCTCCGTTTCCACAAAACGATAGACTCAGGGGAATCAGGAAAATTGTAGTGACCAAAATTTATTTCCTTTTGACTGCATTTTTACTTCCACCATGTTGCTATAATTTCTGAAAGGATCCTCATTGGCCAAACACCCAATGCCAGTTTAGTTTGTCAACATAGCTTGACAGAATTGCCTCTGTCTTAGAAGGACTGCTTTGTTCAGAGTAGAAGCAATACACAGTGGGATTCTTACACATCTCTGTTGATTTTCTTGAATGCATGTTCTCCTGTTTTGCAGTGGCAAATTTCAGGATTAATCCAATTTGGGATATGTAATGCATTTTACGAGAGCGGTCATAAATATAAATAGATAGCCATTTAGCCCTGGAGGAAGCCATTACTTGGATAGAAACAATGGTACTTTCGACACAAACAACCAATACCTTGGAACCCATCTGTATTGTCAAATGACCTGGCTATAAACAGACTTGTAATTTTTTGCTGAAACTATAGATGCACAATATGCCAGTATGCTTAAGCACTTAATGTTTTGTCTAGTTCATTGTATGCGATTGGTTATAAATGGCTAGGAAGGTGCTAACTCAGGAGTCTTCAAACTTGGCCCTTTTATGACTTGTGGACTTCAACTCCCAGAATTCCTCAGCCAGCGTGCAGGGGAGTTGAAGTCCACAAGTCATAAAAGGGCCACGTTTGAAGACCCCCCTGTGCTATCTATTTGATTTGTACACACTTGAAGCTAATCTACCTTCAAATATATCCTGCAGTATTTCCCCCCCTCCCAATGCCAAGTAAATGCTCCTTGACAGTTAATTATGAGAAAATAAAGAGTGCAAAAATTATGCCAGCCAGACTACGTGTCATGCAGTCTATGGAAGGGATCTGCAAGCTATTTGATCAATTTAATGTCGGTAGAAAAGAGACTAAGCAATAAAGGAAAAGTGACATTCTCAGCTCTTGTAATAAGAAGCATCTTTGCTTCTTTCTCTCTAGCATCAGCATGGCGCACGTGACGCACTCCTTGGAGGAATGTCCCTGCTTGCAGAGACCTTCGCCTAAATATAGGCCAATTCTCTTTTGATCAGAAGTGACACAATTACCAGAGGTGTGAGTTCCTTAGTTGTTGTGTCAGAGTACAGTAAGACTTTTTCTTAGCAAGGCGGCGTATTCCCACCCCTAAAGGCTGCCCAAAATGCAGACGCAATTCCCTTTGCCTAAGAATCCGCATGTTGGCATTTTTTTTTTTTTTTGTTGAAATGTATCTTATTTGGCACCTGTCCTTTTTGCTCTGGTTAGCAAAATGTAAAAGAGACTGCATATTTCATGTGTTTTTTTTTTCATTCCTTCTGCCACCTCAGTTCTGGCCTTTTAATAAGATGGCGTGAAGCATCTTTAAGGGAAGAGGCTCCACCCACCCACCCACCCAGTCTGGAAAAAAAAAAAGTTTGCCTTGATTTTCAGTTTTATAGTATTTATACATGCCTTCGAGTTGTTGTCCTTTCCAATATGTAAATTAAGATGCCTGTGTAAATATAACAATCAAAGTCTGGTGTAATTTGCCCTTCCAGGAATAAAATCAATTAGCTTTTTTAAAAAAAAGAAAGAAAAAAGAAAGAAAACACATTTGTAATTACCAAGTTGTTCTGTAAAAGGGTACATTATATCTGTATCGGTGTGCCAGTTAATAAGATTCTTAATTTTTTCTTTTCTCCTTTTAGAGCTATATTCAAAAAAATAAGAAAATCCTAAAAGCTGCCAAAGACTTGCCTCCTGATGCACTTATTATTGAATATCGCGGAAAATTCATGCTGAGGGAACAATTTGAAGCTAATGGATATTTCTTTAAGAGGTACCTTTCTCTAAAATCTTGTTATAACATTATTTAGCCTTCTTCAGTTTATTCTCTCCCTCCCTTCTCTCTCGTAAACATATTACCAATTATCAAGCAAATTAAATACATTTTTCACCTGGTCTACACTTTCCATCTCAGTCAGCTTTTGAAATCTGAAGTAGCTATTGTCATTCACTTTGGTAATTAGACAGCATTGTTCCTTCTCATTTCTATTTTACATACACAGTTTTATCTCCTCCAGCCTTTTAAACTTTTTTTTTTGCCATTTGTCTCAATATTTTTATCACTATGCCTCAGTCTGGTACCATCATTTGAAGTTGCTTGTTTTGACTGACTTGCATTCTCCACATGTTGCCTGGCGAATGAAAAGTAAAAGCTGCATGTAGATAGTCATTAACTTAGCAAACGTAAAATTAAAGCTGCTTATGAAAGAAACAGGCAACTTCAAAGAAAAGACATTACAGCAGATGTTATACACTGCCTGAGTAGATCTCAATACCTTTCTGCTAGATTCGATTAATTAGTGATAATCACAAGGATTGATATGATAAATTTTATAATTCAGACAGATTTAGCATACTTCATACTTAGAAAAAAGGCTATCACACGGTAAGTGTATTTTCTTCTGGACACTTGTATTTAAATGACATACCTTACTGTTTCATTTTTTTTAATTTTCTCCCTATTTGTCAAGAAAAAAAAAGTCATTCTCACTAAGCATGCTAAATGAATAAATAGTAGTGGTTTCCTTTCTCTGTTTAAGTTTATATTTTGGTTTTATTAAGAAATGTCTTAACGGAATGATTGGAAGCTAATCAGCAAAGCAAAAATACAAATCTTCACTTTGAGTTTTTTAAAAAAAACAACAAACCACCCATCTAGTAGATGCTAAAGCAGCTCTCTCTCTCTCTGTCTAACATTCTTGAAATGTTTTATTTACGGCATTTATATATGCTGATTCCACAAGGATTCCTGGCATATGAAAAAACGTGAACCACAAAACCGAAACAAAGTCAACAAAACCTTAAACTTCCTAAGCCAGCCTCTACATGTACAGCTTTCTCATTCATTAAAACTCTGAGGAGCTACTTGGCTTGATTGCCTTTCAGAAAACAGGGCAATTAGGCTAACGTGCCAGCCTTCTGCCCAAATCAAAATAGCCCTAGAGTGGCCAGGAAAGTCAGCAGTGAATCTGATGTAAAATAGAATTCTTCCTTAGTTCCAATAATGGCAACTGAAGTGCAGGTCAAAGCAAGATCATGCCAATTTTCTCGATGCTGATGTGAATGAAAAAGATCATTTATGATGCTGCTTTTTAAGTTTATTATCTTATGAAGCCTCATAACATTTGACCTTTAATTGAATTTTAAAAAAAAAACAGACACCCGCCCCCCCCCCCAAAAAAAACACAGGTAGCAAGCAACCTCATACTGTAAGTACCTTGTCAAGAAGTCTGTGTGTATGAATCCCAAAGTTACCAGGAATTAAATTCAACTTTTATAGTATAAAACTATCATGAAGTCATTTATAAACAACATGTTATAAGTGTACTAAAGAAGAGACATTGATCCCAACAGATCTTCCCCCTTTAATTCTCTTCGTCACGGATGGTAACCATGGCAAATGTGGCAGGGAAGGATGATGGTTGAGTTTTGTTTGTTTTTTTTAAAATTTTCTGGACAATACTATTAACCACGGCATAATAATTTTAGCAATTGCTTGGTTAATAGATTGGAGTGGGTTGTTTCAGCCTGCCCGAAAAGTCCCACTTTGATCATAGTTCTGAACTAATAAACAAAAGCTTGCAGTGAAACTTCCCACCCCAAAGTTTCAGCAGCCTATATAACATTGTGACATGTTTTCTCCGTGGTACCTGCTTGTCTACACATTTGAAAAACGAAGTAACTTTTAGTTATTTTTAAAAATATTTTCACTGTGACAACAGGTTGTTTCTTATCATTGGTTTTTAGGCCCTACCCCTTTGTTCTGTTCTATTCTAAATTTCACGGGCTGGAAATGTGTGTGGATGCAAGAACCTTCGGAAACGAAGCTCGATTTATCAGACGTTCTTGTACACCTAATGCCGAGGTAGGCTTTTCTTATTTATAAATATGACCTAATAAAGTTCTGTTCAACAAGCCAGTCTTAATTTGACCCAGCTGTGTGTAGCTGTTTTCCAGGAATTAAAATATTTTCCAGTTTTGAACATTTCAGGGAATGTAAGCTCAAGTTACAGAACCTTATGTTTATTATAAAATGAGACAAGAATGTGTATGGTATTACTATGCTATACTGTGCTGTAATTAGATCACTAAAGCTGGTACGTTGTTTTATTAATATAGCAGAAGAGAAGGCAATATTATCCACCACCACCACCACCACCACCCCCCAAATTCTAAAACCAAGGGTTAGGGTTAGCTATGAATCTAATGCAGCAAAATTAGAGTTTCGGGACTTTTTCAAGAATGCAGATGCAGTATAGTGTCATTTACTTTATCAGATGCAGGGAACAATATTCTGAGCAAATAATGTATCTGAACTTGTAAAGGAAACAAGGCCAGAAGGAATGAAATTGAGAATATGAGTTACTTATTGACCGTCGTCATTCACAGTTGAATATGAAAAAGATGTTTTTGTATTAATGAGTTGACTGGCATAGGTGTGATAATTCTTAATATTTATTGATGGGAAGGAAGGAGACTTTATTATTGGCTTTGGGTGGTATTTCTTTTGGAGAAAATAAGGGTAAACAAGTTTGAGTTTGTCTGCTTCCTTACTCTTCTTAAGTTAGGAATCTTTTTTACATTTGTCATTGGTACTGTACCTTAGATAACATCCTAAATTCTTAAATAAAATTAAACTTCCCATTGAACTGAATTTGTAGGATATGGAAATTGAAAGCCTGTATTAAAATTTGGGCTAGTGTTTCAGTAGAAATTCTAGAAAAACTGAATTCATTTGTGTCCTGCTTATGCAAGCCTTCATGCAGGCATAGAATGAGGACATAACCCCGTATTTGTTATGGCAATTTGAGAATTCTTCCAAGATATATTAAACCAAAATATTGCACCATTATCCCTTCCCTCACAAGCAAACATCTGAGGTGCAAAAGCTTGTTTCAAATTAACGGTTGAAAAAAAGTACAGAAATGTATAAAATACAACTTTCATTTCCAAGAAATTGTTGTTGTTTTTTTTTAAGGTATTGTGTCTTTGTGTTTGTAACTGGAAAGAAAGTCGACAAAGCTGCTGGAATTGGCTTGATTTTAAAAATTAATATTGTACTGTTTCAAACCTGGTAACTGGAACAATCGATTTTAGGAATATAAATGTGTAATTTTTTTCATTTCCTTGCTTTCCCTAAATACTGACGCTAGCTAAATTAGTTTTTTTTAAATAACTGATTCCGAGTGGCTCATGCATTCTTGACAGGCCCCAACTGAGAAGTTTCCTTCCCTGCTTGCTAGGCAACTGAAATTAATGAAATATTTTGAGTCATTGAACGTGGAATTTAAGAGTTCTTTATGATGCTACGTGGTTGTATATACTTTATGAACAGACTATATTTATTTCATTAAAGATATAAAATGACCTTATTATGCCTGCCCTCCCCTACTTTGGAACAGAGGATTTTACCAAAGCAATAAGACGATAAAAGTCTATATTTGGAATAAATCTATATTTAAAACACATAAAATACTCTTATGTTAAAATATTGGTTTTTTTCCCCATCTAGGTTAGACATGCCATTGAAGATGGAACTATTCACCTTTATATCTACTCCACCCAGGACATTCCAAAGGGAACAGAAATAACAATAGCGTTTGATTTTGATTATGGAAATTGGTAAGTAATGCTGTGCTTCAGAGGTGCTGCTGACATATTCACGGGTGATTATATTAATCATCAATATTTTTTTTCAGTTGTGTATTGTCATAATCTAGGGATTAAACGCAGACTCATAAAAGTAAGCAAAAAATGTTTAGTATAATTTGTATCATTAGATTGTAATACAGGTACCAATATTAGATTTCGCAATGCAGCTAAATTGCCAGATGCTTCCTTTGAGAGCTCGCACACCATATCACAAAATGATGTAGCCAGTGAACACTGGAGCATAGTTAATATTAGTAACATGAATCCCAAAACCTTTGGTCACTCTAGACATATTATAATCTTTTTTTCATCCTCATCTTTCTTTTTGGCAGTACAGTGAAAGTTTCACTGAATCTAAATTGTGATTTAAAATACCAATTTGATTGTCTTTTAGAAATTTTGAGAGAACTGGTATAATGGTTATAAGAAGCTAGACAAGGAAAGGGCAACTAGGATTCTGGCTTCCTTCAAGCACAGAAACCAGTTGGATGGACCGGTCAATCTTATCAACCTGTCTTTGACCAGTGCGATAAATCATAGTCCATACCCATCAGTGAATATCCTATAGTGGATTGATTTGACTTGATCATAGCATTCATCAAAGTTGCTAGTCTGTTTAACTAACCAAATGAAATTCAATAGTGAAAAAAGTAAGGTTCTACTTACTTTTAGGCCAGAAAAACCAAATGCACAAGTACAGTATAAGTGCTACCTTGCTCAGTAGTAGTAACTGTGAGAGGGACCTCGGAGTCCTAGTGGACAATCCCTTAAATATGAGCCACCTGTGTGTGACAGCTGCCAAAAAAAAAAAGCCAACTCAGTGCTGGGCTGCATTAACCGAGGGATAGAATCAAGACCACGTCAAGTGTTAATACCACTTTACAAGGCCTTGGTGAGGCCACACTTGGAATACTGCATCCGCTTTTGGTCACCACGATGTAAAAAAGATGTTGAGACTCTAGAAAGAGCACTGCAAAATTTGGCAACAAGCGTGACACCAGGATTACTGTCAGAAAGGTGACATTAAAGAGTGCAGAGAAGAGCAGCAAATGATGATTAGGGGATTGGAGGCTAAAACATACAAGGAACAGTTGCTGGAATTGGGTATGTCTCGTTTAACGAAGAGAAGGACGAAAGGGGACATGATAACAGTGTTCCAATATCTCAGGGGCTGTCCCAAAGAAGAGGCAGTCAAGCTATTCTCCAAAGCCGCTAAAGGCAGGAGAAGAAGCAACGGGTGGAAACTAATCAAGGAGAGAAGCAACCTAGAAAGAAGGAGAAACTTCCTGACAGTTAACCAGTGGAACAACCTGCCTCCAGAAGCGGTGAATGCTCCAACACTGGAAGTTTTTAAGAAGGGACTGGACAGCCATTTGTCCGACATGGTATAGGGTTTCCTGCCTGAGCAGGGGGTTGGACTAGAAGACCTCCAGGGTCCCTTCCCAACTATATTATTATTATTATTATTATTAATATAATGATGTTCAATTTTGAGTAGTTGTAAAAAAGAGTTAGGCTTCCATTTGTGTGTTTACTTGAAAAATCTCCTAATCGTAGCCACAAGCTTTTCTTATGTCAATTCCCCCCCCTTTTTTTTTTTTTTTCCTTTTAAACAAGCAAATACAAAGTGGACTGTGCTTGCCTCAAAGAAAACCCTGAATGCCCGGTATTGAAGCGTCCCTCCGAGCCTGCTGAAACTATAAATACAGGTTATGAAACCAGAAGGAAAAAGGGGAAAAAGGAGAAGGAAACCCAAAACCAGAACATCACGCTGGATTGTGAAGGCGCGACGGGCAAAACCAAGTTTCCAGAAAACCGACAGAGGAAGCTTTCTCCCCTTCGATTGTCGATCTCAAATAATCAGGTATTTTGGGGGGTCATCGTCGTCGTCCTGTGGTTAGTCTTCTCACATAGAAAAACTTCAGCAAAAGCAGGGTAGTTGTTGTTTTTTTTTTAAAAAACTTCTTGTGTACCATGTTTACAGTATAGGGTATCTCACAAAAGTGGGAATTGGCAGGCCTACAGTGTGGGGTTAAGGAGTGTGGTATGTTTTTGGTTTGGACCCTGAGCCTACAAAGAAAATGGGTTCTGATGCCTTTTCTAAAATAAAGGGACTAATTTAAATCATCCCTGATTTCTTCCACCTTAATTAACCGTTCTTGTTGAGCTCCATCATTATACAGCAGGAGCTCATTTTGAATACTTTTGCAGATCACTGGTGTAAGGATATCTATCATGCTGTGCTTTGATTGATCAGATCATCCTCTAGGTCAGGACCCCATTTGGGGTCGAACGACCATTTCACGGGGGTCGCCAAACAACGCAGTCTGCCATTTTTTCCCCCCTTTTCCTTAGCTGTGCTGCTCCCTTTTATTCTATTGGCTTTTGAAAGCCAATAGAATAGACTCTCTTGAATAGAGTCTAATTCTATTGGCTTTCAAAAGCCAATAGGAATTGTCCAGGCTGTCTCTGCCCTGCTGAGCCCGCCAAAAGTCCCATTGTGCAAACGGTGCTGCACCAGTTGAGTAGTCCTCGACTTACGACCGGTTGAGTAGTCCTCGACTTAAGACCGGTTGGGGGTCGTGGCATTAAAAAGGTTGAGAACCACTGTTCTAGGGGGTTAGCCTTCAAGATGAGAAATTACAGATATGTAGAGATTATTTTAATGCAAGGGAGTTTTCTAGATTTACCCACACAGTCCAGAATCTGCCTTAATATTTTAAATAATAAGACATGTACACAATCACCACCCCAATTGGTAATGAAGTTTGGAATTGAACCAGAATCCAGGACTTAAGAATAGTTTTGTGAAGGGTATTTATCTTTCAGAGGACAAAGCCAGCAGGAGGTCCAATCATTTATAAACAGATTCTAATTACGATTTGTAGTTCTGAAAAGATGACTTTTGTGTAAAATGTTGCAACTAGAATCATCAAGTCACGTTATTTGGCATTTTTAAAAAACAATATTCTTACTTGCTGATTAGGAAAAACAGGAGAGAACTTGTGTCAGCGTGCCTGATATAGTTAACAATACACACACGCGCACACACAACGCTCGCAGGAAATAAAAGCAGTGCTGCTTTGAGCAAAACAGAAACTATTAAGTCAGAATTCTGAAGAAACTGGATATACTGGGAATTAGTTCCTGCCTGTGCACACAGTCTTTACTGGTGGATAAAATGAACCAGGAATAAAAAGTAGAGTGTCCTGTCTCCCTTGTTTGAGACTGGCATTCCTGGTTTGTTAAGAGCAGCAAGCCCAAGAACCCTAGTACGAGTAACTTGCGAAACTTTGAGATAGTTAAACAACTGCTAATGATGGGAGCCTAGGGCATCTCGCTTTATTCCTGATAAGTCAGCCAGCCGTGACTGCTCTTTGGAGGAACCAGATTTGATGGAACAGACCCAGACCCAGTCCCTTTTCATGGCCAGATAGAGTTCTACTTCTAGCTTACATATGAACCTGGCCAATGTCACGCGGAAAGAAAATGTCAGCGTGAAGCAAGCTATGTATTATTTTGCATTAGTTGTCTTTGAGGGTGCCCATCTGCATCTTCAAGGCTGTTGTTTTTGCCTTTCGGCCAACTGTACGTGGTACATGGAACGGGCCAACTTGGCTGCGGGACAATTCAACAATTCAATTTCATTATTCGTTAAAATAATTTTTAAAAAATATTTTAACTTTTGTCATTCACTTTCCATTTTGTCCCTCCTTTGGCATCTTTTCCTTAACGATTCTTATTCCACTGTTTCTTTGATATTAGTGTGACTCTTGCCCCGCAGCGAATTGTTGTAGACCACATGGTACAGCATGTGATTCCTACAAACACGGATCTATAGCAACAGTGTATTCAGCTTACTCATCCAGGAAAGACATATCACATATTGCAAAAAAAATGGTCCTTTTCTCTCTTTTTTTTTCCCATGATGGGATATAGCACTTGTTAAATGCCTCTCAGACATCCTCCTTTGAATTCACGGCTTAAACAAATGGGTGGGTGGGTGTGTATGCACGTACACACAACATCACTGCTGTGTATCACCCACTAAAAACCAGAAAGAGAACTTAAAATATTAAGCCAGTTACTCCTAGTTGGAAGGCAAGCAACTGGCTGTGGAGGTTTGTGGGTTTTTTTTTTTTAAAAAAAAGGAAATATAGGAAAGCACTTGAGATTCCTGCAAGTAAGCCCACAGCATCTCAGCAATCCCATTTTTTTTATGTAAATGGCACTAAACAAGATAAAAATGAACATGTAAAGGAAAAAAAGTTTGCCCTCCCAGTTTTGATAAGAATTGTAATGCAGATAAAGTGCACAGGATGAGAGTGAAAATAGGCTGACTGGTGTACCATGCTTGGTTTTTGTTTTATTTTGGCAACTATAAATTTTTGCTAGTAAACTGATGGATGATACATAATGTTAATCTGTCATTATTAGTTCCTTTATATCCAATATGTATACTCTTAAAAAAAATTGATAGATATATAAATTAGCTCTGAGGTTTTTCAGGGTAGGAGAAATGATATGAATTATTATAATATGTTTAATACAATTAAAATAGCTATAAATATGATACCCTATTAAATGCAGTTTGTGAGAAATTCCTCACTAGATAATTTTGTCCCCATCACTAATGTTAAAGCCTTGTAAATATTTAGTGGGATGGGGGAAAATGTATAGGATTGCACTGTTAGTAAAACAACTGGAAGCATATGAAGTTAGTTAACTAATAACAAAATTTTGATGCACATTACCAGTTTTCAAGCTGTAAATTAATCTTAAACAAAACGAAATATTTTACACGTTCGAGTTAACCACTTGCTAAAATAATATTGAAAGGCTAAAGTTTTTAAAAGTCAATCTTCGCTGTTTAGTAGGCAAAGATATCCAAGATGCTTTTGGACCTTCGAAAGCTCTCTTTGATCTAGGTCAATGTTTCTCAACCTTGACCATTTTAAGGCATGTGGACTTCAACTCCCAGAATTCCACAGTCAGCACTGCTGGCTGTGGAATTCTGGGAGTTGAAGTCCACATGCCTTAAAATGGTCAAGGTTGAGAAACACTGATCTAGGTTATTAATTGAGTGGGCTGTTAAATGTGTTGCAGCTGCGTGTTCGATCCTGTCGTGCATTTGCTGTGACATGAGATTTTTTTTACAGTGCAATCCTATTCCTGTCTACTCAGAAGCAAGTCCTAATGATTTCAGTGGGACTTACTCCCAGGTAAGTGTGTATAGGATTGCAGCACTAGTATCGTAGAGTTCCTTAGGTTATACCACCAGCAGCAGCAGCAGCAGTAGTAGTAGTAGTAGAGCTTCTGTAAAAGCAGTCATTTCCATCTTTCAGGAGCCAGATTTTATTGATGATATAGAAGAAAAAACTCCTATTAGCAGTGAAGTAGAAATGGAATCAGAGGAGCAGATTGCAGAAAGGAAGAGGAAGATGGTAAGTTGGGAAGCTAGTAGCCGCTTAAAGCTGTCACTAAAGATGAGTGACAGCTGCTCTTCCCATGCTAATCATTGCTGCCTCTCCTAGGTACTTAGCGTTTGAGAATATTTGAAATCTGCTCCTTGATATGTGCTAATTCTATTTAAATCTTTGTGTGTGTGTGTGTTTCTGTTTTTTGGGTTCTGTGATTTTTGAAAAAGTCGTGTATATTTTCTCAAGGATTTTTTTTTTCTGAATGATTTCCTGTATCCGATGCCCTGTCAGCCTCTGAAAATACTTTCTATATATTTTTTTAAATTATTATTTTAACCTATTTTGCTTGGCCACGGTCAGAAAGAGCCCCGTTTTCAAAACTAGTTATGAATATACTTCTCACAATAATAGAAAACAAACGTCGCTATAAAGTCAGGAGTCCCTGAACAGGAGATCCCAGATACTTGTCTTTTAATATGTTTAAACATGCTGAATATTATTTAGTGAAATACAGAGGCGCTTTGAAGATAGCCTGAACAACTTAGATTTTATTAACAAAAGGAAGACCTGCGAAAACAAGAAAAAGACTATTTCAATAGCAACGGAGCAAAATTGAAGCAGTTTAAGCGTCTCCATTTAAAGATTAAAATAGACTTAAAATCATTTATTCCAAACGATAGCTACTTGATGGCATATCAATCCATATCTGTATACTTAAAAGTAGGAGGTGTTTTTTAAAACTATTTTCATCTTCTTTCTTGGCCTCTGAGTCTATTACAGAGCCTGGTGTGTATCCCTCTTATTTTTCTAGGTTTGCATTCTCTTCTCACAAAATTAATAAATCCTTAATAGTTACAACAGGTGTTTTTTTTTTTTTTCCTAAGCTACTCTACACAATACTTAGTGCTTTTCTGCTTAAAGATATTCCTCCTAGTTTAAACACTGAGGCGTTATCAGCCAAACCCTTTCAGCTTATCTTTTCAGGAAATAATTTTATCTATCATACTGATCTTAGACTCCTGATTGCTGCCCTTCCTTTGCAGTTGCTCCCCAGTTTTAGTGTCTGCTTTGGGATACTAGCAATTATCCTTGCTTTCTCTTTTTGTTCAACAGCTAAAGCTTTTGCTCTTGTTTTAACTGTTTTCCTTCCCTTTCTGTTTAAAATCTGAATAGATTCAATATTCTGGTACTGCAATGGCGCCTCGTTGCCCTCAGCTTTTCTACGTGCACTAAATTACTTTAAATCAGACATTTACCATTAAAGATCTATTCTATAGCTTAACTCCCATAGTCTGTGACTTCCTTGCTGTCTGTCTGGTCTTGACATCTTCGTTCTGCTTTTACCAGTTTGGCCTCCGGTCTGGAAAAGATGGGTCCCAGTTGCATTTTACATCCGCCCTCATTTCTGTTCGTTGTGTGCAGTTTTCCTCGAAGGAGAGAAAGAAACACTGAAACATTATCCATTGGGTTATTTTGTTTGTTTGTTTGTTTCCTGCCCTGAAAATAGGAGAACGTTCCTGTTTTCTCCGCCGTTTAATAAATTTAATAAATACAGATAGTCTCGACTTAACAACAACAGTTCATTGAGTGACCGTTCAAATTTACAGCGGCGCTGAAAAAAGTGACCTGGGACCGTTTTTCATGCTTACCGTCATTGCAGCATCCCCGTGGTCACATGATCAGAATTCAGACACTTGGCAACTGGCAGGTACTTAAGACAGTTGCAGTGTCTCGGGGTCAGGGAAGTCAGGTTTATTTAACCACCACGTTGCTAATTTAATAACTGCTGGGATTGACTCAACCACTGCTGCAAAAAAAGGTGGTGAAATGGGGCTCAACTCACTTAACGACAGAAATTAGGGGCTCAGTCCATGGACATACGTCGAGGGCTATTTGTATTTAATAAATGAAGCCCAAAAGAGTTTGCGGAATTCCAGCTGCTTTGGGCTGCAAGATCGTTTTGAAAAGCAAGTACAGAATCCTGCATGTGAATGTCTGAGAAAGAAAACATGTTCATGTATGTGCATGTTTGGCTCCTGTTCATGTAGTAAATTAAACTCCTGGGCAGAAGAAGCTGTCCCCACTACTGTTCTCAGTGGCATGAGGGCTATAAGGCACTGACAGGAGGGCGATGGCAAGAAAAGAGATATTTTAAGATCTTCAGCTTTTGAGTGTTTGATTTCACTCATGATCATTGTTTATAGAAACTTAGGCCTTTGCAGGGCATAGCAAATGCACGCTCTCTTCATACTCTTACAAGGGAAATGTAAAGATGATAAAATAAGATGACGTTTCTTCGGCAGAGGTGAGAGAACCACTAAATTAAATTAAATTAAATTAAATTAAAGCATCACATCAAGTTTGAACTTTGGCTTCCCCCCCCCCTCCCCATACCTCCTGAGTTAAAGCCATTAAATAAAAGGTGCTACCTTGCACCTTTTTACAAAGAATACATTAGCTTCTGCCTAGGCTTCTCATACTTCATTATAAAGTATTATTTATTATAATTCTACTAATTACTTATGCTCTTTCTCAGCTTGCTTATTTGCAAGGAAAGTTCTTACGGTCAGAGAAAGCAACCCACACATTGAATTTTTTCACGTAAATCTAGTAACTTTCCTTCCCCCCCCCCCCAGTTTCTCAAAAAATCTGCCATTTCTAGACCAGGTTTTGTAAGCTGGAAAAAGTGATGGGCAATAAACTAATTTAAAAAGATGGAAGATAAAGAAGCTGAAACTTCTGACAGCGGTAGCTGGAAAGACTTCCTCCTATCTGAAAGATCGACTTACTTACCTTAACAAACTCAGAATTTCTTGAGGGCTGATGGGTAAGAGCAGAGCTATCAAAGGAGGGCAGACAAAGAGTAAAAACAGTAGTGGTTTCTGGGCTGTGTGTATCTACAGTTGCTGGGGGAATTCAGAAGTGATGTCATAATCCTGTCAACCAATAGGAAGATATTTCCAGTCTCTCCAAGGCTTCAGTTTTCAGCCAATTTTTAAAGTACATTTTAATAAAACGAATAGCTGGACAATTTATAGTGTTGCAAAATACAAGGGAGATCCATATTAACGGTAGAAGCCGAGTGTGTTTGGGTAATATTGGCACTTGAATCAAATTAATATCTAAGACCGCATTCCAGTATGTATGAAACAAGTACACCTGCTAGAATCTTCGGGAAGCGTTTTCAGATCTGTATATTCTCTGGCAACAATCGTGGAAAATTTTATCTTACAGGTATTGGCCCAGAGTTGTCAAAATGGAAGCTAGAAGACAACTTAACTTATAGCTATCTACAGAGTTGATGTATAGAAAACTTTGAACATCCTGTTGCCATCAACAGTGATCTGAATCCTTCTTACTATTGTTTCTAGAGAATTATATTTATTGTGTATAAGAAACAGATTCGTCAGAAGACTGAAGGGGCCAGTAGTTGCCCAAATAAGGGCAGGAAGTGTTACCTTCCATAGAATCCTCTCTTCCTGGACCGTTGGTTGGGCTGCTGTCACGAAGTCAAAAGTTTTAAGGTAGCCATTGAAGGCTGGGCTCACTCTGGAACTACAGTGGAGACGTACTTAACTATTCTGGTCATAACTCCAGCTGTTCCAATTGTCTGGATTATTAGCAACTGAGGGGATTGTGTGTGGTGGATACTTGCTGGCAATAAAGAAAAATAATTCTGACTAGTTGCCAGGATTAAGAGAAATGAGCACTAAGCTACAGGTAGGGTTCAGTTTATGACCACAATGGAGTACAAAATTTCTGTGGCTAATTGTGAAGTAAGTTTTGCTTCATCTTATGGCTTTTCTTGCCACAGTTTATTAAGTGAATCCCTGCGGTTAAGTTAGTCACACAGTTGGTTAAGTGAATTGACTGTGCTTGTCAGAAAGTCACAAAAGGAGATCACAATATCCCAGGACACCGCAATGGTCATAAATAGGAAGCCGTTGCCAAGCGTCCGAATTTTGATTCTGTGACCACAGTGATGCTGCAATGGTTGTAAGTGTGAAAAGCAGTCAGAAGTCACTTTTTTCAGTGTTGTTTTAACCTTGAATGGTCACTAAGAGAACCGTTGTAAGTTGAGGACTACGTGTAATTTCTTTCTGAAATTGATAGGGCTTTAATTTCCATGGAAAGGAGGAAAATGGGCTGTTGGAAACTTGAAGACCTGGAGGCACAAGCCTGTTCTCATCCAGTATAAAACCTCACAATTACCTTGTTAAAATTTCACTCATCACTCAACAATTTCTGTGTGTGATCCCTGGCTACAATGGAAATGTTGTTGTCAGTCTCCCAGAGGCATGTCATCATCATGCCCCTTTAGTTAAAAAAAAAAAAAAATCTCAATAGCTCAACACTAGCTTATTTAAAATTTTCTTCTTGTCCTATCTCTGAAAAAAAACCTATATGAAATAAATGAAGAATCGGAATAAGTTTCATAAATGCAGGGGTTTGGTGAGTTAATTTGTGTGTTTGTGAACATCTGTAATAAACACCACCACCATAAGTAATCACATAATTTTTACCTTAATGTAATGATTTGTCTGATCTGATGAGCCTTAGAGAGTATACCTCAAATAAAGGACAGAATGTTTTTTTATGTTCTAAGAAGTTTAAATCCTAGTCATTGTAAAAGCACTAGAAATAGAAAGTTGTTCAGACATTGATAGATGCATAATCTGACCTGGCTTCTGATAGAGAAGATTAAGATGGGAGATAACATATTCATAGATTATAATATTTTACATAATGTATTTGTGAAAATACCAGTGCATTTAAAAATAGTATATGGATCTATTCATGTAGAAAAAATGTTTCTTATTAAAATTACTTAGATTTAAATTACTTTAAATCTAAAATAATTGTTCATTTAATTCTAATCCATACTGGGTCCCCATCACCTGAAACTTTCAATAAATTATTAGTAAATACCGCCTACCTGTGCACCAGGGTCAAAATATAAATGCCATACCACTACTGTGGAATAAAATGTGGATTCTGTAAAATCGATTATCTGAGTGTGACCTGCAGATAATATTTTGAATAACTTTTTTTTGGGGGGGGGAGGTATTTTTAAGTCCTTTAATGTATAATCTTGTTTAAGCATCGTTGTTGTTAAATTCTTCAGACCAGAGAAGAACGGAAGATGGAAGCCATCCTTCAAGCTTTTGCCAGATTAGAAAAAAGAGAAAAAAGAAGAGAACAAGCTTTGGAAAGAATCAGTACTGCCAAAACGGAAATAAAATCAGAATGTAGGGATACCCAGATCATCAACGAGGCGGAATTTGTTCAGGTAGTTGCCTACGTTTTATTAAGTGATTCACCTTACCTGTTTTGATACTTTTCGCATAGCATTGCTCTGTTCCCCTCCAATACCTCTTGGGACAATACACTTGGGTGTCGCTGCTCTTTCTAAGCAACAGTGTAGTGATGTGTGGGCTGGGCTAAGACAGAGTGAGCAGCCCAAGTCACACAGGAGTCTCTGTGACTTCAGTGAAGGCCTGAGCCTCTGTCATCTGCTCATCAAACTGGTGGTTTCATCCTAGTTCACCCACTTTTGTATTGCTCAATGTTTGCGTAAGAAAGTGAATTTGGAGATTTGGAATTGTACGTGAATCCAGTCCTAGCGCCCATCATAATCAGTGCAAACAGTACTTAAATAAAAAGAAAGACGAAGTAGAACTTTGCTGTTTTTCTTAACCAAATACCCAGATAGATAGACATAGATATAGATACACACACACACACACACACACACACAGATATATATATATATATATATTTAAGTTTTTAGGTTTTGCTAACAAAGAATAAAGAGAGAATGGTATAGCTATTTCGGGTAGATTTCTTTCTCCCATATCTGGGCTGACAGGGTGTTCATTCAAGGTAAAAATATATATATATGTATGTTTTCTGAGGTTTTCGCGGGTGTTTGTATACCTACCTACCTACCTACATATATATATATTACATATTAATATTACATATTACTGCCAAGGCACAGAAAGGTTAATCGAGTTCTAACTAACATTTTGATGATACGATTACTTTTCCTGATTTACTGATTTTTATTTGTTACTTTTGATTGTTAGGATTTATTATTTTATTTTATTTCTTTTTGTGTGTGTGTGATTTTATTAGTAGTGTTTACTTAATAGATTAACGTATTTACTAATTATTTTTAATATGTTACAGTTTAAGCTTTGTTAAAAATGGTTGAATATGATACTTACTCATTATTATGAACCGGACAGTTGCTTGTTTGTTGAAATATGTGATTGTACCTATCCTTATTTTACCCTAATCCCCTTTTTCCTTCCCCTCCCCCTTTCCTTTTTACCCTTCCCTTTACCATACCTGTATTTTTCCTATTTTCCTTACCTATATAAAATTTTGTTTAAAAAAAAAAGAAAGAAAGGTTAAAATGATCCTAAATAAGATGTGTGAGCAGTACTGCCAAACGTGTATTTTTACCCTTTATGTATTTTTTTCCCTCATTTTGGTGGGAAAACAAAATTTATCGAAGGGTGTGTGTGTAAATGATGTAATTTTGGATTGTGTGTAATTGTCCAGGAACCAGCGAAAGAGGAAACCCCCACCAAGCCAGCCCCTGCCAAAGTCAACAGGACAAAACAGAGAAAAAGCTTTTCCCGGAACAGGACGCACATCGGGCAGCAGCGGCGAAGGCACAGGACCGTCAGCATGTGCTCGGATATCCAGCCATCCTCTCCTGACGTGGAAGTGATCACCCCGCACCAGGAACCCGAGACCGCTGTGCTTCCGGCCGAGCCTGAAGCAGAGACGCCCGTGGCTGACGTAGTCCCTGAGCCTGAAGCCCCAGCACTTAACAAATGCCCCACTAAATACCCCAAAACGAAAAAGGTACGTGGGGAACCTCGTGTCTGCCCTGTTTGAGAAGGGGGAAAAAAGTAGCTAATAATCCTCGACTTACAACTACAAACCGAATTCAAAGTTTCTGTTTCTAAATGAGACAGTGAGTTTTGCCTTATTTCGCGACCTTTCTCGCCACAGTTGTGAAGTGAATCGCTGCAGTTGTTAAGTTAGTAACCCCAGTTGTTGTGAATCTGGCTTCCCCATCGACTTTGCTTGGCAGAAGATAGCGAAAGACCATCACGTGACCCTGGGACACACTGCAACCGTCATAAATACTAGTCAGTTGCCAAGCGTCTTGAGTTTTGATCAGGTGACCCTGGGGACGCTCCAATAGTCTGAAAAACTTAAAACACTTTTTTCAGTGCCGCTGTAGCTTCAAACGGCCACTAAACAAAGCCTTGTAGTCGAGGGTTACCCGTGTGTCTTTTCTCTCCCCTTTTTTTTTTAATTTAATGTACATTGGAAGACCTTGTCGACGGAGTCAGGGCTCTGCTGATTTTTCCCCCCCTTTCTGTTCCAGCACTTGGTGAGCGAGTGGTTAAGCGAGAAGAGCGAGAAGCCGGGAAAATCCGTGGAAAACCTCTCAGAGAGGCCTCTGCGCATAACCACCGACCCAGAGGTCTTGGCGACCCAGCTGAACTCTTTGCCAGGCCTCACTTTCAGCCCGCATGTCTACACGACGCCGAAGCACTATATCCGTTTTACGTCGCCCTTCCTTTCTGAAAAACGGCGGAGGAAAGAGCCAATGGAGCGCATTCTGGGCTCCTGCAAGAAGGTAAGATATCTGGTAACTTTGAATACATATATATAGCAAGAAGAAGACTATCGAGCGATCGATTAACGTATTGTTTATGATAATTAACTGCTATCTATTATTTCTTGTTAAACCCATGAATCCAGACATAAGGCTGTTTGCTAAATATTGAGAATGTTATTGGGGAAAACCCTAACTAATCCCAACCCTAATTCTAACCCGAACCCCAATCCCGATCCCACCTCATTCCTAACCCTATAAAAACTAATAAAATTTATACAAAAAAAAGAGAAGGTAACATATCTGATAGCGTAGGGTTGTAAACATTTTAAAAAAAGGATAAATCAGTTTTCTGGATTAGGGAGTGGCAAGGGATTCCCCATGAAGTTTATTTATTTATGAGACTTATATACCGCTTTAAGTGCAAGCACTCTCTAAGCGGTGTACACCAGTAAGCAATGTGTGTGTATGTGTGTATATATATATATATATATATATATATATATATATATATATATATATATATATATATATATATATATACATTGCCCCCAACAATCTGGGTCCTCATTTTACCTACCCCGGAAGGATGGAAGGCTGAGTCAACCTTGAGCCGGTGAGATTTGAACCGCTGACCTGCTGAACACAGTGAGCTAAAGTGGCCTGCAGTACTGCACTCTAACTGCTGCGCCACCTCGGCTCATTTGCCTTTCAGCAGCAGCACCGAATCAGTGGTCATTCCACCGCAGGAAGCCGATTTAGATTTATTTTGTCCCCTGTTTTGAGTTGCAGATTATTCATATTTTATTTTAATGATGGCAGTAGCTTACGTATAAAGTGAGCTTTAAGCGTCCTGTGGTGGCGTCCTCATCCTCATTTTCACTATTCCTGTTTTGCAGCGTTGGTTAAAGCAAGCTCTGGAAGAAGAAAACTCGGTGGTTGGGTTTTTTATTTCCTCGCCCCACGAAGGATCCAGAAGTCCTGTTGTCAACGGCGAGAGCAGAAGCCCCTTATTACTGACCGACAGCTGTTGCTTGCCAGGTGACGTTAGTGATGGATTTCACCCTCATCCCACCTTCAGGGCTGGGATGGCTTATGGTTTCCAAACCATAAGCCTCGGCTTCCCAAATGCCCATATACTGGCGGTCCTCGACTTACGACCACAATCGAGCCCCCCCATTTCTGTTGCTAAGCGAGACAGTTGCTAGGGAAATTTGGCCCTATTTTTACAACCCTTTTTGCCACACAATTGTTAAGCGAATCACTGCGATGGTTAATTTAGTAACGTGGTTGTTAAGTGAATCCGGTTTCCTTATTTTGCTTGTCAGAAGGTCCCAAAAGAGGATCACGTGACACCCTGGGACGCTGCAACTGTCAGTTGCCAAGCGTCCAAATTTTGATCACGTGACCCTGGGGATGCTGCAGTGGTTGTACGTGTGGAAAATGGCCATAAGTCCCTTTTTTTCAGTACCGTTGTAACTGTGAACGGTCACTAAAGGAAGTGCTGTAAGTTGAGGACTACCTTTACTGTGCCTTGAGCACTGAGCGAGAGAGGCTCTTTTTGAAATGTGTGTGTGTGTGTCTGTGTATATATGTAGCAATAGCACTTATATATCGCTCCACTGTGCTTTTGTAAGCCTCTCTCAGCGGTTTATAGAGTCAGCATATCACCCTCAACAATCTGGGTCCTCCTTTTTTACCAGCCTTGGAAGGACGGAAGGCTGAGTCAACCTTGAGCCGGTCAGGATCGAACTCCTGGCGGTGGGCAGAGTTAGCCTCTAACACTGCATTCTAACCATTTTGCCACCAGGAAGGAGAATGAGAAAGGGAATAGGGAGGGAGGGAGGGAGGGAGGGAGGGAGGGAGGGAGGGAAGGAAGGAAGGAAGGAAGGAAGGAAGGAAGGAAGGAAGGAAGGAAGGAAGGAAGGAAGGAAGGAAGGAAGGAAGGAAGAAATAGCAATAGCAATAGTACTTAGACTTATATACCGCTTCATAGAGCTTTACACCCTTCTCTAAGCAATTTACAGAGTCAGCCTGTTGCCCCCCAACAATCTGGGTCCTCCTTTTACCGGCCTCGGAAGGACGGAAGGCTGAGTCAACCTTGAGCCGGTCAGGATCAAACTCCTGGTGGTGGGCAGAGTTAGCCTGTAACACTGCACTCTAACCACTGCGTCACCGTGGCTCTTATTTTACACATACATACATGCATACATACATACATACATACATCAATTTCAACTCCTGCAAGAATGGGAGGCCTTTTGCCGCTCGTTCATTTTAAATGGTGGAATAAAGGCTTAGATCAGAGATAAATGACTTCTGCCTTTTCTCCCCGTTTTACCTCCCCAGATCTGACAACGCCACTCAAGAAGCGAAGGCAGTACCAGCTGTTGGACTCCGCCTATTCAGAAACATCAACGCCCACTCCTTCTCCATACGCCACGCCCACCCACGCCGATTTCTCCGCCTCGGACCCCTTATTGCTCGCCACGCCTCCCCGAATCAAAGTGGAAGACGAAACCTGCAGGAACGGTTACAAGCCTATTTATTCATCCGTTACTTCGGTGATTCCATGTGTCCATGGAAATGCAGTGCACTTTGAGGTGAGTCTCCGGCTCCTGTCCTGCCTGGTCCGATAAATCCATTTTTTTTTGCACCTTCATTGCTTCAGGGGGGCGGGGGAATGGCTCCATTCACGAAGAATAAAGCTATGCATGTATTTCTCGACTTAAATGTTCGCTTAGTGACTGTTCAAAGTTACAAGACAGCACTGCGGCTTTATGGCCATTTTTCCTAGTTAACCACCATTGCAGCATCCCCATGATCATGTGATCCAAATTTAGACATTTGGCAACCGGTTCATATATACCAGTGCTGGCGAACCTATGGCACAGGTGCCACAGATGACACGCAGAGCCCTCTCTGTGGGCACATGCGCCGTCGCCCTAGGCCTAGCTGGGTTTTATAAAACCTTTTCACTTTAGGCCTCCGCCGCTGTGTGCAAAAAAAAAAAAAAAGGTTCAATCAGTCAATTTCAACTTCTCGTGGAAGAAAAAAGATCTTGCAAAGTTGGAATTGATTGATTGAACTTTTTAGTCCCACCCAGTCTGCCATTACCACCGCAGCCACGCCCAGCCAATGGGCCACACCCAGCCAATGGGCCACGCCCACCCGGCACCCGACGATGCATAAATGGGTTTTGGGTTGCAGTTTGGGCACTCAAGTCTCTAAAAGGTTCGCCATCACTGATATATGTATGTATGTATGTATGTAGGTCTTTGGTTATTCGGGTTTTCTCCCACGTAAAATTGGAAGTGTCTTGGCGACGTTTCGACGAAGTCTCATTCGTCATCTTCAGGCTGGTACTTTTGGCTTCATGCTTCTAGAAGCACGAAGCCGAAAGCACCAGCCTGGAGATGATGAATGAGACTTCGTCGAAACGTCGCCAAGACACTTCCAATTTTACGTGGGAGAAAACCCGAATAACCAAAGACCTACATACAAACACCCGCGAAAACCTCAGAAAACAGAGATAGATAGATAGATAGATAGATAGATAGATAGATAGATACATACATACATACATACATACATACATACATACATACACACACACACACACACACACGATCTTGGCTGTGTCCCGGGATCATGTGATCCCCTTTTGTGCCCTTCTGACAAGCATAGTGCATGGGGAAGCCAGATTCACTACTACTACTTCACAACCAGGTTACTAACTTATCAACTGCAGGGATTCGCTTAGCCTCCGTGGCCTGAAAAGTCGTAAAACGGGACAAAACTCACTTAACGAATGTCTCACTTAGCGACACCAACGGGCTCAGTTGTTGTAAGTCGAGGTCTACCTGTAATCTGTCACTACTGTCACCTTTTAGAACTCTGTGAAGGATGCTTCTAAAGAGCCTTTCCCAAGGAAAGTTTTTAGGGTTCTCTTTTCATACATGGGTGCAGTCAGCATTTAACTAAAGAAAGAGGTAGTTTTACACGATTGAAGAGAAATGATTTTATTCTTTATTTTCAAAAAAACATCAGAATTGTTTGCTTCTGCAGTTTTCAAACGTCCCCCCCTCCCTTTTTTTTTTTTTTTCGCTGCAGAATATTTCTTCACCTGAAAGTTCTCCAGAAGTTAAGAGGCGAACATTTAATCAAGAGGTAAGTTCGCGCGGGAAGTTTTATTTGGTCTGCTTTGCAAATCTTTTTTTTTCCTATGCTGTAAATTCTTAGAATGTGTAGTTCAGGGTTAGGGTTTGTAGGAATACACATTTGTGGGCGCGAGATCCTAGAAGATAAAGATAGGGGAAATCCTGAGGAATAATTGATAGTTCCTAGGGCAGCGGTTCTCCACCTGTGGGTCGGGACCCCATTTGGGATCAAACGACCATTTTACGGGGGTTGCGAAACAATGCAGTCTGCCCTTTTTTTCCCCTTTTCCTTAGCTGTGCTACTCCCTTTTATTCTGTTGGCTTTTGAAAGCCAACAGAATAGACTCTCTTGAATAGTGTCTAATTCTATTGGCTTTCCAAAGCCAATAGGAATTGTCCAGGCTGTCTCTGCCCTGCTGAGCCCGCCAAAAGTCCCATTCTGCCAACGGGGCTGCACCAGTTGAGTAGTCCTCGACTTATGACCGGTTGAGTAGTCCTCGACTTACGACCGGTTGGGGGTCGCGGCATTAAAAAGGTTGAGAACCACTGTCCTAGGGTCTAGCTTCCCAAGTTCCTACTTTCACAAACTTAAGTAGGATTTCCTTTTAAAATAAAATTTAAAAAATGGTGGGATGTGCATGAAAGGTCTAATATGCCAAAGAACATAAGCTAACAGATAATGCAATCTAGGTGTGGCAAAGTGCTCAGACAATGTTGTCTTTTAATGACACAGTCGTAAATAAAGGGATCAATTTGGCATCTTCCCTCTCAGGTCCCAATGCAATTAATTGGATAGCTAACTTTCGTTGTTCTTCCAGAACTTTTCAGTTCTTAGGAATGGGTATAGTCACCAGCTATGATTAAAGATTGTTTCAGTAAAGCAGTTTTTTAAAAAGAGAACAATTGGAATGTTAAAAATAAAAAATGAATCATAGGGAAGAACAAAGAGAAATAAAAATTGTGGCACATCTATCCCAGGGGTGGGCAACCTTGGCTCTTTTAGGACTCGTGGACTTCAACTCCCAGAATTCCTGAGCCAGCCAAGCTGAGGAGAAAGGGAGAGGTTTCCAAGCTGAGCCATGCTGGCTCAGGAATTCTGGGAGTTGAAGTCCACGAGTCTTAAAGTTGCCAAGGTTGAGGACCCCTGATATAGGGCAGGGGTGGGGAGCCTTGGCTCTTTTATGACTGGTGGACTTCAACTCCCAGAATTCCTGAGCCAGCCTGGCTCAGCTTGGAAACCTCTCCCTTTCCCCTCAGCGTGGCTGGCTCAGGAATTCTGGGAGTTGAAGTCCACGAGTGATAAAAGGGCCAAGGTTGCCTATCCCTAGTCTATACCAACACACCTATTAACCTTAAGGAAAAACTCACACATTTTAGATCTACAGTTGTTAGATCTACAGTTAGATCTTGTAGAATAAACCTACAAGTTGGCTTTAAAAGCAAATACAGAAAAAAAATACATTAAAAACGAACTGCCAGAATAGTTTCCCACGGAAGAGATCTTTTATTCAGGCTGCCTCGTGCTATTTCCCCCAACCTTGTCACGTTCCCCACCTCTTTTTTTGGGACAGGGATACGAACGTTCCTGCGCGTCCATGCTAGCACTCAACCCGTTCCGAAATTCCAGCCTGACGGAAATCTGCCTGCAAGAGATCAAGACGATCGGCTACTCCAGCCCGAGGAGTCGAGCGGAGGGCCCCAGGCAGTGCTCGGGAGAAAAGGAGCCCCCCTCCGAGCTCCCGCTGGGACTGGAAGCGGTCGAGCAAAGCGCGCTGCACAAAACGCTGGACGCTCCCTGCCACAACCGGACTGATGCAAGCAGCCAACTGGAAGCGGCTCATTGCGGGCGGGGAGCGGTTTATCCGACCTGGGTAAAAAGTCCCGACCGGACAGGTGTCAATTTCTCCGTGAATTCTAATTTGAGAGACTTAACTCCTTCACACCAGTTAGAAGTCGGCGGCGGGTTCCGGATCAACGAGTCGAAGTGCCTGATTCCAGAGGAGGCGAGAGGCATGTTTGTGGACGCGCCGGTTTTTTGTCCTTCCGAAGAGGGACTGGCAGCCAGTTTTGGGAGGACTGCCAGTACTGACGGGCTGATGGACGGCAACGGCACACCCCAGAATCCTCCGCAAAAGAAAAAGGTACCGACTTCAGGAGAGGCCACACGTAGGGATGCTTTTCTGCTTATTATATAAATGTTATATCCTTAAGGCTTTTCAAAGGCTTCCGCGTAGGCACCCGCTAGGAAACTGAACTGTCTCACAAAATCGACTTACGAACTAGTGATATTGCAATTCAATCTCAGCACTGGAGGCAAATAACTTGTGTACACTTCAAAGCCCTGGGAGTAGATAAATAATGGAGTGCAATGAAGGGATGCAGAGAGCCCTTGACTTAACAACAGTCCGCTTAGTGACTGTTCAGCGTTACAAATGGCGCTGAAACAAGGGACCTAGGACCATTTTTCACACTTAACGATCATCGCAGCATCCTCCACGATCACTGATTGAAATTCAGCGGCATGGCAACTGTCTCATACTTAACGACGGTTGTGGGGGTCACGTGATCCCCTTTTGCGTCCTTCTGACCAGCAAAGTCAAGAGGGAAGCGAGACTCGCTTAACCACCGGGTTACTAACTTCAACAACTGCAGCAAGAAAAGTTGTAAAATGAGGCAAAACTCACTTCAGCAATGTCTCTCACTTAGCAACATAGGTTTTGGGCTCAGTTGTGGGTCGTAGGTCAAGGACTACCTGTATAGGCCTAGTTGAATCCTGATAATCTACAGCATGGCTCCCCTGGGGCAGATCAGTCTGAAGGAAGCTTGTGAGGGAAATGCCCATAACATATAGCAATAGTAGTAAAGTTGGAAGGGACCTTGGAGGTCATCTAGTCCAACCCCCTGCTCAGGCAGGAAACCCTACACCATTTCGGACAAATGGCTGTCCAGTCTCTTCTTAAAAACTTCCAGTGTTGGAGCATTTACTGCTTCTGGAGGCAGGTGTTCCACTGATTAATTGTTCTCACTGTCAGGAAGTTTCTCCTTAGTTCTAGGTTGCTTCTCTCCTTGATTAGTTTCCACCTGTTGCTTCTTGTCCTGCCTTCAGGCGCTTTGGAGAATAACTTGACTCCCTCTTCTTTGGGCAGCCCCTGAGATATTGGAAGACTGCTATCATGTCCCCCCTTGTCCTTCTCTTCGTTAAACTAGACATACCCAATTCTAGCAACCGCTCCTTATATGTTTTAGCCTCCAGTCCCCTAATCATCTTTGTTGCTTTTCTCTGTACTCTTTCTAGAGTCTCAACATCTTTTTTACATCGTGGTGACCAAAACTGGATGCAGGATTCCAAGTGTGGCCTTACCAAGGCCTTGTAAAGTGGTATTAACACTTCCATCCCTCTGTTAATGCAGCCTAGCACTGTGTTGGCCTTTTTGGCAGCTGCAGCACACGGCTGGCTCATATTTAGGTGATTGTCTACTAGGTCTCCGAGGTCCCTCTCACAGTTACTGCTATTGAGCATGATGCCACCTATGCTGTACTTGTGCAGCATATTAGAGATGGCAGTACTTTGCTTTAAGCGTCTCACTTTGTGTGGAAATCTGCCCCTTATCTAGGCCTTGTGCCGATTTTTTACCTGTGGAAAAATCAGGTGTAAACCAGGTCAGGAGTGGGCAACCATGCCCCCTATACGACTTGTGGACTTCAACTCCCAGAATTCCTGAGCCTGTTAGAGATAAAGATTCAGGGTTGCTAATATTGAATCTCAACAAAGCACAAGCTAGAATATAACCTAGATCCCACTCATGCTAGATAAAGCTTTGCTCGGTTCCCAACGGGCCACGGACCGGAGGTTGAAGACCTCTGCCTGAATGGGTACACAAAGCCCTTGACTTAACAGCGACAGCTGAAGCCAGAATTTTGATCCTAAGCCATTGCCGTTGTTAAGTTGAGTCACCACGTGACTGGACTCTACTTGGTGGCAGTTGGTAAGCAAATCACACGGTCGTAAGTCTGAATCTGCCTTATCCCATGCGCTTTTTTTTTCTCTTGAAAAAAACAGCCAAAACGTTGCAAACCACCCTCACGTGATCGCAGGACCCTGCCGCTGCCATGCGCCCCAAAACGCAGTCATGTGACCTGGGGTCACGGCAGTTGTGACTTTGAACATAGATTTTGCAAGTCACTTTTTTTTTGGGAAGCATCTTGTCATTCCAAATAACCGGTCCTAAGTTGAGGACTACCTGCCAATGCTTCCTAAGTAGACATTTCTGCATCAATAGTAAAGGCAAGCTGATGCTGACGTGTCAAATATTTTTAAACTTTACTTTTTGCCGGTGGGTGCTTTTCAAATATTACAGTGAATAAATCGGCATGTTATTCAGCTGGTCAAAGCACACACACACACACACACACACACACACACACACACACACACACAAAGCTCTGTGATGATTGTGACCAAAAAATGAGCGTTTTTCACTGTCTTTTCAAAACAGTGTACAAGAGTCTGGGGGCGGGGGGAAGACCTGTGCTGTGATAACTTAAAAGCAAAATTAAGAGAAGCCATCCTCTCCTTTTCCCTTTTTTCCTAGGTGTCACTTCTGGAATACCGCAAGAGGCAGCGAGAAGCCCGAAAAAGCGGCTCCAAAGCCGAAACTTTTTCTCTCCTGAGCATGTCGCCTCATGCTGCCGGGGGAGGCAACGGCGGTGCTGCTCCCGACGGCTACACCAGCAGTGAAAATGGGGAGCAGCCGGAGAGGGAACAGACCGCCAGCCTCCCCTTATCTTTGCCAGCCACGGATTACAGCGCCGTTTCCGAAGAAAGCGAAAACTCTTCGTCCTTAAAGGAGGCTTCCGGCGAAAAGAGCGATCCGGAGGTCCAGTGGTAAGTATCCTTTTCAAGCATCCGCCCTCGAGAAGCCGCTGACCTTGCAAAACACGTTTGCGGGTTAGAAGAAGCTACCCCGTCAAAACGGTGGCCAAAGCCGTTTTCCAAATGTGTTTGCTTCGTTTGCTTTGCGTAACTTTGAAACATTTCAAAGTTAATACAAAGTTAATGCAAGCAGCCTGGAATTAAGGAGAAACTTCCTGACAGTGAGGACAATCAACCAGTGGAACAGCTTGCCACCAGAAAAGTGGATGCTCCATCGCTGGAGGTTTTTAAGAAGAGATTGGACAGTCACTTGTCTGAGGTGGTATAGGTTCTCCTGCTTGAGCAGGGGGCTGGACTAGAAGACCTCCAAGGTCCCTTCCAGCTCCTGTTCTGTTCTATTCTATTCTGTTCTTTATTCCTATATTCTATTCTATTTCATTCCATTCTATATTTTCTATTCTATTCTATATTTTTTATTCTATTCTATTTCATTCCATTCTATATTTTCTATTCTATTTCATTCCATTCCATTCTATATTTTCTATTCTATTTCATTCCATTCCATTCTATATTTTCTATTCTATTTCATTCCATTCCATTCTATATTTTCTATTCTATTCTATTCTATTCTATTCCTTATTCCATTCATACCAGTCTACATACAAACTGAACAGACTTTATGAGTCTTTTGGATGGTGACAGACTCTCAGTTCTGTTTATCCATGCAAGGGAACAAATGAATACAGAAAACCACCCGCGATGCCATTAAGAGCAGGGGTGTTCAACCATGGTACCTTGTGGACTTCACTGGGTACTGGTGCTTAGCTGGAATAACAACGATGGTACAGTCAGGCCTGCCCTAGAGAGAATCTGGGGGCGGGGGTGGGGGTTGTTGAAAACTAAGCAACGAGACTTGCCATCAAAATCTCAACCGTGGCAGGAGGTTGAATAGGCCAAGAGCATTTTTTGTGTCTGCCAGATGATTCCATGAAGTTACTTTTTAGTGCCAGAAACTGCTAAAGTCTTAGTTCTTTACCGATGTCCCTTATTTTTCAGGAGTGGGGGCTGTCTTGGTCACAGTCAGGTGGTTCAGGCCCATTTACCTCTGCTTGCAACGTTTCAGTCTGTACAACGTCACGGCTTTAAAACTGGGTAGTAGTTGAATCTGCTCACAACTCTGCTCTGGAACCTGCTAGCTCCCGGCTTAACTCTCACACCAGTTACGGCTTGTGCTGGGAAAGTTTCTCCCAGGAAACAAAAGAAACCGTGTTGTTTGCAGGCTGGGTGTGATCGGTCAAGTCAAATTCCAACCTTTATTAACGGCAAGGATCAGCATATAAGGAGGATGGCATAAAAGATACAGCATCTAAAAACATAAAACCTAAAAGGAATCTTTAACGGGAGCAGCAGATGAGCATAAGGCAGCTGGGTGGAAATGTCTTGACGTGTAAGAAGCCAGCATGAGAATCATCCTAGTTGCTCCAAGATGGTCTTCACTGCTATTTCCACCAAAGGCAGAAGGGAACCCCCAAGACATGTTTGACCTCTCCTAAACAGCCGATTCTTCAGGACATTCCATCGTGTAGAACTCATCCTGCCTTTGTTGCATTTTGGGCAGGGGGCTCTCTTTGGCCAGCCTTCCTTTGGAACAGGGGGGTTAGCACAGGTCAGGGGGAAAGGACGTGGTCTGATCATGATTCCCAGAGAAAGGTGGAGGGCAGAACCTGCTGCCATGGTTAGCAAACGGCGCCACCCTCTAGTCTGCACTACATCTCCATGCCTATTCACTAGGCAGGTGGGTGCTCTAGGGCACAGAGAGAGAAAGATCATTGCATCCCTCTCACTTGGACACTAAAGTGAGGAACAACTCAACCTTTTCACCGAGTCCTTCTTGCTGGACTTTCCTAACTACTCTCTTACTTGGGGCTAGTAAGGTATGTGCCAGGCTACAGGTTTCACCAGTGTTAAAACAAATTTACGTGGCTCAGCTCACTGTCCCGTTCAGTCTGTGAGCAACTATATAGTTCTTACTCTGGAGACCCCATATGGGCTCATCTAGATCCCGTACTGTGTAAAATACCCCGGAATTCACCCACCGTTGCTCTCACATCCCACTGTTTTTTCCCACGAGGAAACACCCAAGGAGAACCTCCAGAGGCCTTCCTAAGGCCGTAGAATACTTCCACGCCTTTGCATTTTCCTTAATCATGACAGCCTCAAATATTTCAGGAACCCTTAAAATTATAAGCTGCCAAACTGTTCTTCACGCCCATTTGGATAGCAAGGGAGCCCGAATTAAAATAGCCCTGACATTTGTGGTGAAGCAAATTACAAGTTGGGTTTTTCTTTCTCTTTTAAAGGACCTCTTCAACCTCGGTGGAGCAAGTCAGGGAACGAAGTTATCAGCGCGCATTGCTTCTTAGTGATCATAGGAAAGACAAGGATTCTGGTAAGAGATCACCGAGTGGATCACACTCCCTCCTTTTGTGCAGCACCTCCTGGTTGCCGAGCCGCGGTGGCACAGAGGTTAAGAGTGCAATATTGCAGGCTGACTCTGCATTCCCACAGCCAGGAGTTCGATCCTGACCGGCTCAAGGTTGACTCGGCCTTCCGAGGTTGGTCAAATGAGGACCCTGATTGTTGGGGGCCAATAGGCTGATTCTGTAAACCGCTTAGAGGAGGCTTTGTAAAGCACGGTGAAGCGGTCTATAAGTGCTATTACTAGTGCTATTGTTTCTGGTGGTCTTTGTTGATTAGTGGCAACTGTTCACCACAAGACACCAGTTATTGGATCTTAGGAGAACGGTCTGGGCTTCTGTCTGTTACATATATAAAAGTTTAATCTATTCCCCCCCCCCTTCCCAATTTCTTACCAATGTCCAGACCCAGCAACATTTCTATTTATAGACTTGTTTGTTGCAGAAACTGATCCTGAAAATCTGGAGCCTACAAGTGAATGTCCATCCCCAGATACTCCTCTGAAGACGTGCAAGAGTCCTCTAAAACCAAGCAAGGTACAGCACGATCGAGTTTCTGTGTGTGTGTGTGTGTGTGTGTGTGTGTGTGTAGATAGATAGACAGACAGACAGATTATAGAGATAAATAGACTAGATATATAGAGAGATAAAGTAGATAGATAGATAGAGAGAGAGAGAGAGAGAGAGAGAGAGAGAGGTTTATTACTCAGCTTAGAATTCAAACACCATTTTCATAAAGAAGCAATATAATTTTAATTATCAAAAGCTGGAGACAAAAAGATCTCTGACACCCTGTTACTCTGAATCCCTAGAGACATTTGTAAGACTAAGATGGAAAAAAGAATGCTGGACTTGACTGGTTTTATTAGTTCAGCAAAGCAGTTCTTAGATAGTGCCCAGGTCAGATTTGAGGTTATAATTCTGTACCCTTGTGAGTTGCAGAAATGTGTCAGAAGTAGTCATTTTGCCAGTACAAGTTAGCCTAGAACAGGGGTGGGCAACCTTGGCCCCTTCATGACTCGTGGACTTCAACTCCCAGAATTCCTCAGCCAGTCTGGCTCAGCTTGGAAACCTCTCCCTTTCCCCTCAGCGTGGCTGGCTCAGGAATTCTGGGAGTTGAAGTCCACGAGTCCTAAAAGAGCCAAGGTTGCCCACCCCTGGTATAGGTTAAAAAACTAAGTACTAGGTAACTGCACAGGAGTGTCTCAAGACTGGATAGAGAGCTCTCACCAGCAAACGCAAATGTAGTACAGCTGGTCCTCAAATTACAACCGTTCATTTAGTGACTGTTCAGAGTTACAACGACACCAAAAATAGTGACTTAGGATCATTTTTTCACACTTATGACCACTGCAGCGTCCCCGTAGTCACGTGATCAAAATTTGGATGCTTGCTAACTGGTTCATCTTTATGACGGTCGCAGCATCCCCCCAGGGTCACGTGACTTCCTTTTGAGACCCCCTGACAAGCAGAGTCAATGGGGAAGACAGATTCACTTAACAACCGGGTTATTAACTTAAGGGCAATGATGCCCTTAACAACTGTAGCTAGAAAGGTTGTAAAATGGTGCAAAAGTCACTTAACAAACGTCTCGCTTAACATCATAAGTGTTGAGCCTCAGTTGTGGTCGTTAAGGCGAGGACTACCTGTATTTGAAATACTAGAGAGTGTGTCTATTTTGCTTTTAAGATTTCAGAATAACAATTCTTGAAATGAGATTGAAGCCATTATCCTATGAATGCCAGGCACTGAACAGATCTATTCATACCAATTAAATATTGCCTTAATTTTTTGCTTTTAAAGAATTAGTTAAATGCATTAATATAAATACACCGTGCTAGTTCTCTACTGCAAAACCCCCAAGAGGCACGACATTTTGGGCTGCAATTCTTACTCGAACTAGTTACCTTCTTCAAATGTTAGTAAAGCTTTTTTCTAGAAGTTGCGATTGTTTTTATATAAGTCACAAAACAGGAGTATCGATTCTTTCATTTCATGAGGTTCAAAAGTTTAAAGAGGTAGATCTACATCGTGAGGGCCTCTTGCGTGAAGAAATGCTGTTCTTGGTGGTCCTCCTTCCTTTAGCCTACACAGAACTGCTTTTTTTATTTTTAGCCAGGATGAATGTCTTTCCGACAAATGGCAGACCCTTAACTCTTCTTTCTCTTGATGTAGACTACTTCTTCTTCACCAAATCCTGTAGTTCCTGTTCAGCCGCTCGGAAAAACGCCCACAAAACAGGATTCCCAGTGGGAGAGCGCAGGAGACACTCCCGGGGCCGACAGCGCAACTCACCCCAAACCAGACCAGCAACCGAAACCGCCGCCCAATACCGCCGAAGCACTTTCGAAACAGCCCCAGCCCCTCCTGCGCGGGGCGGCTGATCCTCTCGGCCAGAAGCCGCCGCCGCCGCCAGCCCCACCGAAGCTCCCTTGCCCCACGTCGCCTCACGTCGAAAACCCCCCCAAGCCGTCCACCCCCCTCGCCCCAGCCCAGCACGGCTACCTGTCGCCAAAGCCTCCTTCCCAACCGCTGGGGTCACCGTACCGGCCTCACCACCCGCCGTCTCCCCAAGTGGGGACACCTCAGAGAGACTCGCACCGGGGCTTTTACGCCGCCACCCAAGCGCTTCAGCCCGGCGCCCCGCAGCCGACCGCTGGGACGTTGTTCCCCCCATCTTCTTCAGTCTCTTACGGTCAGTTTCACCAACAAACTCTCAACGCGGGGGCCCCACCGCCCCCTCCCCCTCCGCCCCCCTCCTCCACGTACTATCAAAACCAGCAGCCCCCCTCAGGAAACTTTCAAAATTACAACCCGATCAAAAGCGGCCTCCCGTCCCAGCAAACCATCTTCCCCTCCGGACCAAACCAAACCCTCGCCGGCACCACCTGTCAGCAGCCGCCCGTCTCGGGCCACCTGGCCAACAGCGGGCACTTCCTGCCCTCCCCAACGCCCAGCATCCATCACCCGAGCCCCGTGGTGGGGGTGCCCCCGCCTCCACCCCCTCCTCCAGCGGCTCCCGGACACCTGGTGCAGCCACAGAACACGCACCCGCCGCACGCCACGGCCCACGGGGTGAGTCCCGCGCACGCGGCCACCGGTTCCCACCTCCATTCGCCGGCCGCCAGCCACCACCTGCCTCCACCCCCGCCGCCGCCTCCCGGCCCCCTCCCTCACCACCTCCCTACTCACCCCACCGCAGCCCATCAAGGTTTGCAAGCACAACACCAGCACGTAGTAAGCTCGGCGCCTCCTCCACCACCACCACCGCCGCCTCCTCCACCACCACCACCTTCCAACGTATTGAGCTCCGCTCATCACCCGGCGCCGGCCCAAGGACTACATCACCCATCTCACCAAGGGCCCTCCCTTTTCCCTTCAAGCGCTCATTCAACGGTGTCAACTTACCCATCACAGCCGCCGCCTCATCCCCCTTTGGGATCCGGACCTCAGCATCAGCCAGCCGGGACGGGAGCGCACTGTCCCCTGCCCGGCCAGGTGTCTCACCTCCAGCAGCCTCAAGGACCAGCCAGTATTGCCACCACCCCTACGGCCTCCGGCTTCTGCCCTCATCCGGGCTCTGTGTCCCTTCCTCACGGCGTGCAAGGACCTCAGCAAGCATCTCCGCTGCCCGGGCAGATCCCTATCCACAGAGCCCAAGTGCCGCCGACGTTTCAAAACAATTACCACGGTTCCGGCTGGCATTAAAACGGACCCCCTACTCCTGCCCGCCCTCCCTACCCACCCCCCGTCTCCTTCGCTTCTAAACATTTTAAAAATGTTCTGTAAAAAACTGTATATTTCATATGTACCTGTTCAAGGTACTTTTTAAAGCTTGTACATTATACTTTGTATAAAAGCGAAACACCAGTGCGCCCGCGTGCTCTTCATCGTCTTCTTTCCAGTTTTTGCTTTTAAAAAGAGAAAAGAAAAGAAAAGAAAAAAATCCCTAAAACCGTGCGGTTTAAAAGCCGGTTTTTTAAGGCGGTCTTTTTTTTTTCTTTTTTAAATTATTATTTTGTACACGAACATTCCAGCTCCGTTTGTTCCTGGCAGTAGATGGGTTTGCCGCACAACTTCTTTTAAAAAAAATTTATCGTTGCAGTTAAAATTCATTTAGTGAATGTTTTCTATATTTACTTTTTTATACATATGTAATTAAAAAGAAGAAGTACACGGCTAAGTGACAGCTCTAACAGATTTTTTTCCCTTTTTTTCATCTTGTCAACAGTTTTTTGTGTGCATATAGTAGACGACGCAATACAGATTTTTTTATATAGTTTGGTGTGAACATGGCTCTTTTTATTTCCCAAACTTATTTTCAGACATTGTAATTTAATGTATAGATTGTTCTAATGTCTCTTGACGAGTGCTGTAAATACTGTTCCTTTTGCGTGTAAAACTGCTTAATGCTTCTCATTTGATATAGTATTGTACATACGAGTCTTTTGCAAAAGCGTGTGATCCTTGTGAAAGTAGTACAGTATATGAACTTTTAATTTTTTTTTAATATACTGTCACATTGCAGCACTGGTTGGGCATTTTAATTCATGTTAATAAATCACAATTATGTCAGTTTTAACCCTCTTGTTTCGCTAGTTTTGCTGTTTGAGCAATGTTACGTTGGAAGGGGGTTTGCGAGGGAGTTATGGGGCCTTAGTTGCTCCTCACAGGCCAAGGGAGGCTTTGTAGTCCCTGAGCACAACAGACACACAGAACCGTTCATCGTCCGTTGATCCAAAGTACTCTGAAGACATTTAATAACTGGCAGCCACACTTTGTCCAACCTAGCAGTGCTGTCTGGAGGAAAATGCTACCCCAGGTAGTCGCAGAAACCTACTACTAGTTTACTAGTGTGCCATTTATCAAACGGCATTCTTCAGTGCTAAACACGACAGGTAGTCTCTGGCTAACAACAGTTTGTTTAGTGAACGTTCACATTTTACAGCTTCCCACCATCTTGGCAGTATTGCCACGGTCATGTGATCAAAATTTGGACGCTCGGCAACTGGCATGGACTTAACGACTGTTGCAGTGTCCCGGGGAGTCACGTGATCCCCTTTTGCAACCTTTTGACAAGCACAAGTCGACGGGGAAGCCGGATTTCACTTAACCAGGTTACTAACTTACAAACTGATTTCACTGAACAACTGGGGCAAAACTCGTTTAACAAATGCCTCACTTAGCAACTGAATTTCTGTCCTCAGTTGCGCTCGTAAGACGAGGACTGCCTGCACTGATAAAACCAGTAATAGAAGAGAATCACCAACCGTGTTGTGGCCACGTAAAAGTCAACGGCGATTTAGGGTTTCGTCCACTCCATCCTTGCCCAGAGTATTGCTCTAATTAGCACAATATTAATATTACCCACTTAACTTGCAGCCAGGCCTCTCCTCGCTGGCCCACTTCTTCTCCAGCGTCCCCAGGCCTGCATTTGTCAGTCAGGCCCTTCCCAGAAGGCCTCTGCAGCCGAGAACTGAGCAATGGATTGAATCCATTGCTCGGTTATCGGCTGCAGAGGCCTTCTGGGAAGGCCTTTGACTGCGAAATGCAGGCTGGAGCTGCATTCTGAACTGCAGAATGAAGCTGCTCCTTCAGCCGCAGAAGTGGGCTGGCTGGGCAGGACTGTACACAGATACACACACACAGACACACACACAAATAAGACTTGGTGCCTCTTGGAGGGAAAAAATAATAAGACCAAGTCTTATTTTTTGGGAAATGCAATACTTGAGATGGTGCCATGTATTACACCAGGAGTCTTCAAACTTGGCCCTTTTATGACTGGTGGACTTCAACTCCCAGAATTCCTGAGCCAGCCACGCTGAGGGGAAAGGGAGGGGTTTCCAAGCTGAGCCATGCTGGCTGAGGAATTCTGGGAGTTGAAGTCCACGAGTCATAAAACGGCCTGGGCCTAGGCCAGAGGTAGGCAACCTTGGCTCTTTTTATGACTCGTGGACTTCAACTCCCAGAATTCCTGAGCCAGCCATGCTGAGGGGAAAGGGAGGGGTTTCCAAGCTGAGCCATGCTGGCTGAGGAATTCTGGGAGTTGAAGTCCACGAGTCATAAAACGGCCTAGGCCTAGGCCAGAGGTAGGCAACCCTGGCTCTTTTATGACTCGTGGACTTCAACTCCCAGAATTCCTGAGCCAGCCATGCTGAGGGGAAAGGGAGAGGTTTCCAAGCTGAGCCAGGCCGGCTCAGGAATTCTGGGAGTTGAAGTCCACGAGTCATCAAAGGGCCAAGTTTGAAGACCCCTGTCTTACGCCCACCATGAGATTGCAGGGTTTCACAGAGAGAGAAAAACAGCGCAATAAATAAAGCTGCCACTGGGGAAGACTCCGTCTTTGTGTGTGTGTGTGTGTGTGTGAGAGAGAGAGAGAGAGAGAGAAGCAGCAACCCATTTAAAAATAATAATAAAATTGCTGTGTAGGGTCTCGGCTGGGTCGCTGTCACCCAAATCAAATTGCGATCCAGCAGCGAATGAACTTCCAACCGTGTTTTGTGTACGGAAATGACGATGGTCTTAAGCCAGATGTAAAATCACCTCCTTTTTATATATCGTACATAAATTGAATACAGTATGCAAATAATAATCGGGGGGGGGGGACAAGCTAGGCAAACCTAAGCAAACTCTTCCATAACAATCCTGTTCTGCATCCCCCCTCCCTCACATTATCCACCCACCCACGCACCCCCCGGGAGAATTCCAGGCAGAGGGGCCAGGGAAAATAACCATGCTCTCTCTCTCCTTGAGCTGAGGATATGCAAATATAGCCACCACCAATCAGGCTCTTTGCAAGGCTGTTAACCAACAGACAGTGAGTGAGTAGTGCAAGATTTTTGAGGTCCTGGGTGGTGCTTTCCTTGCAGACGTCTCGTGACCCAACTAGGTAATGCCATCAGTGCTAAGTTTCCTAATCGGGTCACGAAACGTCTGCAAGGAAACCACCCAGCTCAGAGAGCACCCAGGACCCCACAACAAACACACACACACACACACACACACACACACACACACACACACAGAGAGAGAGTTCAACCCTGAGCTACACAAATAGTTTCTTTTATCGAACGCAAGACTTTGCTGAAGCTGTAGGCATTCTTCAGACTGGGATAGGTCTAAAGCAATTTATGATGTGTGGGTTTTTGAGTTTTTTTTGCAAATGTAGTTTGTAATAGTCCTTTATGGGCTCTGTCCAAAATTCTGTTTCTGTGACTGTACAAAGGATCCCATTGAAAAGCTATAGTTACGTACAAACATTCTAGCTACTAGCACCACACTGGCTGCAAATAAATTAACTCCAGCAGGCCTTCTGGAATTTTGATCCCGGCGTCCAAAATATATATAGCAAGGCTGGGAATATCTATTGTGCGTCGTTCTGCTTTTGTTTTTCGTTTTTTTTTTTAAATCAACATTCAAAAAAAAAAAAAAAAGGCAAACACTTCTGCAGCACTATCATTTGTGTTTTTTTTTTCCCCCCTAACAAACATCGAACGAGTAAAACCGTTTTGCATTTGCCCCTACCAAAACAATCCAGAGGGAGCAGGGCAATTTCTGAAAAAAGAAAAAACAACCACTTTAATTAAGACAACTGCAAGCACCTCGAACAATTAATTATTGTTACAATATGGGGGGTGGGGTGGGATGGGGGAAATCGTCTCACAATCTTTTAAGAATTGCAAAGGCATGTGAATAACTTTAAAATGGACAAAGTGGCACCATAATTCATGTGTAAAACCAGAAATAAATTTACATTCATCCTCACTGACGTTTTAAAAGAGGCTAAAACACACCTCTGTATTTTTTATTATTATTATTATTATTTTTTACATTCTAAAATCTGTATTGCCCAGATAGGAGTTTCTCTTTTTTTGGAATCTACTTTTCTTTTTCTTTTTTTCTTTTTTTTTCTTTTAATACAAAAACACCTAACTTCTGTGTGCAACTTACAAAGGAAGATTTAAGTTCCTCAATACATCGATTATGGGGGGGGGGAATAAAAGCTAGTGCAATTTTGTTTCTGAAATAGGTAAAGCTATGAATGGAAGAAGGTGCATGATCTTTCATTATAATGTAAGGTTTGTATCATTTCTGCTTTTGTTTTGTTTTGTTTTCCTCCATTAAACGGGCTACTTTTTTTTTTTTCCTCCACGGTCCTGCACAAAATGCTTCCAAGGTTTTCTTTAAATTCTTCAGCCTAATATACATATACATATATATATATATAGGTCTTTGGTTGTTCGGGTTTTCTCCCGCGTAAAATTGGAAGTGTCTTGGCAACGTTTCGACAAAGTCCCATTCGTCATCTTCAGGCTGGTGTTTTCAGCTTCGTGCTTCTAGGAACAAGAAGCACGAAGCCGAAAACACCAGTCTAAAGATGACGAATGGGACTTTGTCGAAACGTCACCAAGACACTTCCAATTTGACACGGGAGAAAACCCGAATAACCAATATATATAATATCAAGAGCCACTTTTATTTCAAAATCCAATATAAGCTACAGAAAGGGACGTTTACAAAACTCCCTGAAGCAAATCCTACTACATGCATTTTGCATCCTAAAGTCGCTTTCAATTTAATCGCTTTAACTCTGCAACTTGTCCCGGCTTTTTGTTTTGTTTTGTTTTTTTGTTTGTTTTTAATGGAAATAAACATTTACAGGGTGCATTTACATAACGCTATTTTACAAGAACAAGGTCCCTTTTGCTCGAAAAATAAGAATTGTACATTTCCAAACTCGGACTCAATCAACGTCTCACACTGGTAAATGATAGAATATTCAGCTAAAATAGTTTCCATAAATAGTTACAAACCTGCCCTAAAAACACGTTTATGGGAAGAAGAGTCGGGCGGCTCCAAAAGTCAATGCTTGAATTCCACACAACACAAGAAACAATGCTTAAAGACACAAGAGTTAAGTGGGGTGTTTTGTGTATGTGTGTGTGTTTTTTTTTACAGGAGATAGTCAGTAGAACTACTAGTTGAAGACAAATAGGCCATCTTCCTTTCTCCTCCTCCCCCCCCCCCAGAACACAGTGCACGAAAAAGCAAAAAGTCAAACGGTACCTCAAAGTAAAAAATAAAAGTCTTGGATTGAAGACAGCTCATTGACCATTCTCTTAAGAGCATTTATGACAGTCACCGTTTAGGTTTGATGCGCGAGAAAGTGGCGGTGGAGGAGGGGGGGGGGCCTGGCCCGACGTGTTCGACCCCAGGCCGCTGCTACGAATTCAGCCAAGGGTGCCGAAGACATTCGCCAGCCGAGGCTCGCTTTTCCGGAACCATTTCCAACATGGGGATCAGGAAATCGGTAAACTCGGCCGCGTCTTCCTGCGGCCAGCCGTATTTCTCCACCAGGACGTCAAACAGGCTCCAGGGTTTCAGTTTGGTAATGTGCCGAAGTTCTCCTGCGTTGACGAAAAAGGAGGAAGAGAAAAGCGTTAACTCCTGCGCGCGTCGAGATGGTTTTTTTATTATTATTATTATTTTCAGGTTCCTTTGGTTTTGAGAATACAGCAGGCACCTGTGTTCTAAATCGTGCGGCAAAAATAGCCTCGTGGTTTGGCAGATTTGGCCGTTTGGAAAAAAAAAAAAACAAATCTGGGGAGCAGGGTCTGTTTCGCAAAGGGGTGGAAACTAACCTCGTAGTAAGATATTTAATCGGTATTTAACCGGAAGGGATAATGGGTGTATAATGTGGTTTTTGATGCACCTGTTAGTTTGGGGTTTTTTTTTTAACCACTTTGGATTTTTTTCAAGTTTTATGTTTGGGATTCTCAATTTGTTTTGAACAAAATTTTTTAAAAAAGCACATATTAAGAAAAATAGCCTGGTGTTTCCTGGCGTTTTATTCAGAAGCTTGCAAGAAAGAAAAACTGGTGGGAAACAGATTAACTTGAGACGCGCTAAGCCGTCTTCCATATATTCCCCCGAGATGCTGCACGACTGTAAGCCAAAATGTCAAAAGCGTCATAATGAGTAGAATCGGGCTGATCCTTCCAAGTACAAATGGAAAATTAAAATCAGAATCTGCAAAGCTGACTGTGTAATAAGGAGGGGAGCCTTGTACTATAAAATCGACGTAAAACCATTTGGTGCAAATGCAATCAGGCTTGACGCTTATGAAGGTGAAACTCCCCGCAGCCATGCACTTAACATAGGTTTCCTCCCCACTCGGTTGGCTGGGGGATTCTGGGAGTTGAAGTCCAAAAGTCTTAAGGATGCCAAGGGTGGACGCTTCTGCTGTAGAAGACCATGATTAAGTACATTTAGGCCTTGACTTAATAACAGTTTCATTTCCTTGACCGTTCAAAGTTACAACGGGACTGGAAAAAGTTGACTTACGACGTTTTAGGCTTATGACTATTGCAGCATCCGAATTACAGGATTACAGAGATGGAAGGGACCTCGGAGGTCATCCAGTCCAACCCCCCGCTCAGGCACGAGACCCCTACAGAATCACAGAGTTGGACGGGACCCCGGAGGTCATCTAGTCCAACCCCCCCTCAGGCAGGAGACCCTTACAGAATCACAGAGTTAGACGGGACCTCAGAGGTCATCCAGTCCAACCCCCCCCCCCCCGCTCAGGCAGGAGACTCTATATGTTGTGGGTGCGCCGTCACTGGAGGATTTTTTAAGAAGACATTAGACAACCCTTCCTCTGAGTAGGGGGTTGGGCTGGATGACCAGAAGTCCTCCAAGGTCCCGTCCAACATCATCGTCATCGTCATCCTTCCAAGGTCCTTTCTTATTCTACGATTCTGCAAGGGTCTCCCGCTTGAGCAGGGCAGGTGATCGAAATTTGGACGCTTGGCAACTGCTTCATATTTACAACGGTCGCAGCGTCCCGGGAGGTTGTGTGAACTGCCATTTGGACCTTCTGAGAAGCCAGGTCAACGGGGGGGGGGGGGAGCCAGATTCACTGAGCAACCGTGTAACTAACTTAACCAGCGCAGTGATTCACTTAACAACTGCGGCAGGAAAAGTCGCCAAAGAGGGCAAACTCACTTAACGAGCATTTCGCTTAGCCACATAAAATTTTCGGCTCAATTGTGACCGTAACATGAGGACTTACCTGTAGGATGAAAACTGCCCTAAAAATAAAAGGGGGGGGGGACCTGTTGCACCCTGATTTCTTTCTTTCAACAGAAGCCACAGAAATCAGATCTTTGTGGACTTCCAACCGTGAAGGAAGAACCGGGCCTTTTGGTAAAATAAGTTTGAAGGGGAAATATTTGAAATGCGCAGAGACTAGGGAGCAAAGGACCTTCAAACCCAATTCTGAGAAAGTTATATTCACTTATTATATAAAATTATATTAACAATCAGTGGAAGAGCTTGCCTCCGGAAGTTGTGGGTGCTCCATCACGGAAGGGTTTTAAGAAATGACCGGACAGCCATTTGTTTGAAATGGTTTAAGGTCTCCTGCCTGAGCAGGGGGTTGGACTAGATGACCTCCAAGGTCCCTTCCAACTCTTGTGAATTCTGTAAAGTCAAACTAACATAAGGCAAGCCACAAGGGGGCGGTGCAGATCCATCTTTTGGGTCTACTGCTTTTACAAAAACAAAACCTGTGTTAAAATAAGCCAAGGACAATAATATGCAGTACTGGTAATTCTAATGTTAACCTGCATTCTTTATTAATCTGCTTTTTTTTCTAATAGGGAAACCTTTTTCAAAAAAGGAGGGGGCAGGGTTGAGCTCAGTTTTATATCTATTCTTTGAAGGATTACATCACCCCACGTCACAAACTCCCAAATTAACAATTTAGGCAATGCCATTATTACCCTCCTGCTACAAATAAACACAAATTGCATCAAACTAATGACTTTAGGGGCAATAAAATAAACCCTTGCATTTGTTTGCTGGTTATTATGCCCTGCTGAATTAAAATGATTCCTTGGCAGGTGAGACAGAATATAAACAGGGACGAATGAAAACATTCTTGATGACGTTTTAAAATGTCACTGATCACAAGCAATTATTATTATTATTATTAAATGGCTGTCCAGTCTCTTCTTAAAAACCTCCAGTGTTGGAGCATTCACAACTTTTGTTCCACTGGTTAATTGTTTTAACTGTCAGGAAATTTCTCCTTAGTTCCAGGTTGCTTCTCTCCTTGATTAGTTTCCATCCATTGCTTCTTGTTCTGCCTTCAGGCGCTTTGGAGAATAGCTTGACTCCCTCTTCTTTGGGGCAGCCCCTGAGATATTCAGACCAGCTTCCAGATTACCCAGCCAACTAGAGTATATAATTTGTTGAATTCCTCAAACTTACATATTTCCAATATATGCGTACCATAGTATTATGTGATCCCTCTCTACCATTTTATTACTGTTAACCTTGTGCTCTATGCCATACGCTAAATAAATAAGTACTGGAGTATTATATATGCTCTCTTAAGGTTCTTTTAAGAAAAAAAAGTCTGGTGTAAAGATAAAAAGAAAAAGAACGAAAAGAAATTGCTTTACCCTTTGCCTTCGTCTTGATTAGCAAAGAAAGTTAATCAAGTCCTCGGTATTTTACAAAATCAATTTGAAGCTTTCGAATCGTCTTAAGTTCTGTGAAATAATTGTTAGCGAATGTTTTTTTAAATGTAAACCCAGACAGCACGCTGTTTGCCAAATATTAAGGTGACCATGTTAAAAAAAATCAATAAAATATATTCTATCAAAAAGTAATTATTCCCTTGACTGTGCAGCTGTATAAAATAGCTTTAATTGAAGTTATGTTATCTGTGTTTCTCTGGATAGCAAGAACAAGATGGAAATAACCCAAAGTGCACTTTACACCTGGCACCTGCACAGAAGCATCTTTTTAAAGCTAACTATACTAACCTCCCTTGCAATTAAAATTATCTCGAGCCGGACACAGACTTAAAACATTCTCTATTCTTTCTCCATTTGCCTCTGCTCTTATTATCAAAAAGCACCAAGGCCATCGTTCTAACACTGTTCCAGGAAGGGATATTTGTATTAAAACATCTTTTAACAGCGATATAATCCTACTTTTAACCTTTCATCTCTTCTTTCAGAGCTTCCTATATTTCTTCTGACCCGTACTTCAAAGACTCTCGGTAAATTATTATTTTTTTTTTAAGAATCCAAGATTAAAAAGAACCTTAATATTTTTTTCCCAAAGTTGGAAGATTAAGATGGTCTACAATAAGCAATAAACAAAGATTGTGGGATACGGGTATTATTATTTATTTTTCTGATCGGAGGCATCCCTTTTATTTCATTGAAGCACAATCTGGGAATAGTCTCATTTACTTCAAGTCAGGAGACTTAAAATATCCAGGTTTTGTAAATACAGATAGTCCTTGACTTACAACAGTTCATTTCATGACCGATCAAAGTTACAACTGTGTGAAAAAAAGTGACTTAGGACCGTTTGGCACATCACCGTTGCAGCACCCCCAGGATCACATGATCAAAAATTCAGATGCTCGGCAACTGGCATGTACTTACGACGGTTTGCAGCGTCCCAGGATCACGTGACCCCCCTTTTTGGGACCTTTTGAAGCCAGATTCATTTAACAGTTGTGTCATTTACTTAACAACTGCAGGGGTTCACTTCCCAATTGTGGGAAAAAAAGTCATACAATGAAACAAAACTGACTTAATCACCGTCTCGTTTAACAACAGAAATTTGAGAGTCAATTGCGGTCGTACGTCCAGGACTATCAGTCAAACAAAGTTCATCCTGAACATATTTTTTTAAAAAAGCTTTTTTTAAAAATGCTTCTTCGTTTATAACAGTGGTTCTCAACCTTTTTAATGCCGCGACCCCCCCCAACCGGTCGTAAGTCGAGGACTACTCAACTGGTGCAGCACTGTTTGCAGAATGGGACTTTTGGCGGGCTCAGCAGGGCAGAGACAGCCTGGACAATTCCTATTGGCTTTTGAAAGCCAATAGAATTAGACTCTATTCAAGAGAGTCTATTCTATTGGCTTTCAAAAGCCAATAGAATAAAAGGGAGTAGCACAGCTAAGGAAAAGGGGGAAAAAATGGCGGACTGCGTTGTTTGGCGACCCCCGTGAAATGGTCGTTCGACCCCAAATGGGGTCCCGACCCACAGGTTGAGAACCACTGGTTTATAAGGATGAGTCATTTGTGTGTATATGTGTGTGTGTGTGTGTGTGTACGGGGGGGGGGGAACGAGCTATTGTTAATATTGGGGGGGGGGGGGTTCAGAAACACCGTTACCTTTTTTGGTGAAAAACTCCTTGGAATATTTCCCCAACATTGCGTGTTTTCGAGGGACTTTTCCCAGCAGTTCAATGATCAATGCTATGTGATCTGGATTCAAGCACATTTCCAGCAAAACAGAAACATACAACAGTTTAATCAATACACGGCATGCACACGACGACACCGGGCCCCGGATACAGACAGAAGCAGACATGCTCGAAAACACGGGGGAGGCGATCGTTGCTTGCCAAATGATTTCGAAAAGCTGGTCCAAATCGGAGGGCCGGGCCGCTGTTTGGGAAAGCGAAGCGTCCAATCCTTCATAGTTTCCCAGTCCTACAAATATATATATTTGTATATATGTTTTCGTAGATTTTCACGGGTATAGGTATACAGGTCTTGGTGTATTCGGGTCTTTCCCCGTGTAAGATTGAGAGTACCTTGGCGACGTTTCGACGAGGTCCCACTCGTCATCTTCAAGCTGGGGTCTTCGGCTTCGTGCTTCTGCGAGCAAAGTGTGATCGGAGCTGCCATCTTTCTATATATATATTGGTGTGTGTGTGTGTGGAGTGCTGGCTTAGTTGCTGTAGGTGGATTGTTTGGCTGTGTTGGAGTTATTGTTTGTGGATTGTTTGGCTGTTTCGTAACATCCTGAGTAGTTGAGGTGCTGGCTGTGTGCCCATTAGTCTTTTGTGTTGTAACGACCTGGGTAATGGGTTGTGTCTTTACAACACAAAAGACTAATGGGCGCACAGCCAGCACCTCAACTACTCAGGATATTACGAAACAGCCAAACAATCCACAAACAATAACTCTTACACAGCCAACCAATCCACTTACAGCAACTAAGCCAGCACTCCACACAGCCCCACCAATATATATAGAGAGACGACAGCTCCAATCACACTTTGCTTGCAGAAGCACATAGCCGAAGACCCCAGCCTGAAGATGACGAGTGGGACCTCGTCGAAACGTCACCAAGATACTCTCAATCTTACATGGGGAAAGACCCTAATACACCAGGACACGTGGGTTTTGGGGGCCCTGAGCTGCAGGCAAGCAACGCGCCCTCCGCTTCTGTCTGCGTCGCGGCACCTTGAAAAAGAACAGGGACTACCTCTGCGGTTGAAGAATTCCCGAGAATATTTTCCAGAGAGAGCAAAGTGCCTTGGGATATTCCCGAGGAGCTCTATGATGTGTGCTATGTGGTCTAGGGAGGAGAGAAACAAAGGACATCAGGAATGGGAAGGACAGGGAAGGGAGAGGCGAGGAGAGGAGAGGGGGATAAAAGAAAGAAGGGAGGAAAAATGGAATTAGTTTGTAAAAAACCCAAAGGAAGTTCTCAACACAGTAATGGCTCAGGCGGGAAACCCAGGCGGAGGGTCCCGAGGCCGGCGGAGGAGAATTCGGATATTGTTAGCGGCGCTTAAAAAGGAAAGCAAAAATAAAAATAAGGGAAGCTCGTGTTACGGCACCGCCAAGGAGATTTTCAAGCAAACAAGCGTGGGGTGTGGGCAGCTTCACCCAGGGAAATGGGACCTGCAGGGAGTCCTCAACTTACGACCATCCGTTTACCCACAGTTCAAAGTTTCAACGGCACGGAAAAAAGGGAATGACGGCCATTTTTTCCGCAGGTATGACCGTTGCTCTGTGCTCACGCGGTCAAAATTTGGACGCTTGCCAACTGACACGTGTTTATGATGGTCACGGCGTCCCGGGATCACGTGATCCCCTTTGGCGACTTTTCCCAGCCGGCTTCCGACAAGCCAAGTCAATGGGGGGGAATCAGATTCCCTGCATGACCGCAGGATTCACTTAATAACTGTGGCAAGGAAGGTCACAAAATGAGGCAAAACTCACTTAACGACTCTCTCGTGTTGACAGAGAGGGGAATTCGTGAGTCGAGGACCCACTGTAAATCATTTAGCAATGACCGTATTTATCCAAAAGGAAGATAAGCCTGAATTTAAGATTAATACTTTAACAATACTAATACACATACACACATACACACACACACCCCTGCCAGAAGCCAGGCTTCAAAAAGGGCAGGATGAAAAGGAAAGGAAAGGAAAGGAAAGGAGAAAGGAAAGGAAGATAGAAGAAGGGAAAGGAAGGGAGAGACAAAGGAAAGGAAAGGAAAGGAAAGGAAAGGAAAGGACAGGACAGGACAGGACAGGAAAATAATATTAACTGAACCCAAACATCTTGCCTAACATGTTTTGCAAAACTATCTGCTAAACGTTGCAAATGCTTTTTTTTTTCCCAGCTTGAAACGGCTCTTTTACAGCTGTGAACAAATTTCACAGAAATTATTCCAACATTATTCTACTAAACGATGTTTAATAGAGTTTGCTTGCTGGTGAGAAGGGCGGTAGATAAATTTAATCATAAAGAAATGATTCAGGTTTTCCCCACCGCGTCTTCTATATTTTTTTCAGTAAATTCAAGGTGACGAACGCGACCGCCGCCCTCGCCCAAATTCACAGGGAGGGATATAAAAAAAACAATCTGCCTATCGGGTAAATACGGTCAAACGTGCCAAAAACTGGGAGTTCGACATTCGGTATCTCTAGTGTCCCAAGATGCGCCACAGTGTCAGGTTTTGGATCAATCTTCACACACACACACACACACACACACACACACACACACACACACACACAGATGCAGGTCTTACAGGACAGGGCAGGAATCCCCTCTCAAGATTTAGGGAGGAAAAAAAGTCATGTCTGCAGAAGGGAGTGACTTACAAGTTAGTGATGGGACTTCCAAAGAGGAGGAGGAAATGTGGTGTTTGTATTTTGACAATGAAACTGTGGTTTCATTGTGGGTGGCTTCACATTCGCTGGAGTCACAAAGGCTCAAAGCACGCCGAGGTATTTAAAAGACACCTACCCTCGTCTCTCGAATAGTCCTCGCCAGAATGCGGTTCGAAGAGATAGTCTCCGGTTGCCAATTCAAAGGCCTGGGATTTTTTTAAAAAAAGGGAAAAAAAAAAAGAATATTTTAGTGGCGGATAAGTTTTCGGTCTCGTGCAAGAGTCCCAGGCTAACAATCGTTTTGTTTAGCGACCGTTCGCAGTTACAACATCACGGAAAAAAGCGATCTACGGCTGTTTTTCGCCCTTATGACTATTACCACATGCCCAGGGTCATGTGATCAAAGTTCAGATGCCTGGCAACTGACTCGTATTTATGACATGTCCCTGGGGGGGGGGTCATGCGATCCCCTTTTGTGACCTTCGGACAAGCAAAGCCAGATTCACTTAACAATCCGTATTCCTAATTTACTAAGTTACTAATTTAACAAATGCAGTGATTTGCTTAACAGCTGTGGGGCAAAACCAGTGGTGGGACGCAGCCGGTTCGCACTGGTTTGTCAGAACCAGTAGCTAAATTTTGCTGAGTTCTGAGAACTGGCTTCTGGAAGTCCAGTCTAGGCCTCGAAGGCCCGGAGGAGGTCTTCCAGGCCTAGAACGGCCCACCGGAAGTGCGTGGATAACACTTCCGGAAGTCCGTTCTAGGCCTCGGAGGCCTGGAGAAGGCCTTCCAGGCTTAGAACGGCCCGCCGGAAGTGCATGGATGCCACTTCCGGAAGTCCGTTCTAGGCCTCGGAGGCCTGGAGGAGGCCTTCCAGGCCTAGAACGGCTCACCAGAAGTGCGTGGATGCCACTTCTGGAAGTTCATTCTAGGCCTCAGAGGCCTGGAGGATGCCTCAGAGGCCTAGAACGGCCCCCCGAAAGTGCATGGATAACACTTCCGGAAGTCCGTTCTAGGCCTCGGAGGCCTGGAGAAGGCTTCCCAGGTTTAGAACGGCCCACCAGAAGTGCGTGGATGCCACTTCTGGAAGTCCATTCTAGGCCTCAGAGGCCTGGAGAAGGCCTTCCAGGCCTAGAACGGCCCGCCGGAAGTGCATGGATGCCACTTCTGGAAGTCCGTTCTAGGCCTCAGAGGCCCAGGCCTGCATCCAATAAAAGAACCAGTTGATCAGGTATTTGAATCTCACCACTGGGCAAAACCCACTTAATAAATGTCTCACTTAGCAAAAGAAATGTTGGGCTCCATTGCGGTCGTAATTCGAGGACCGTCTATAAATGTGAAGCCTTTGTTCCCAGAGTTTTAAGATGCAAATGAAAATCATTTCTATAAAGAGCAACTGCTGGATTCCAATACGGAGACCAGGATTAGCGTTCTAAACGGGGATTTAAAAGAAGCTTCCCAAAAAACCTGAACATACAACGGAGATTGCTTACGCCCGGCGCAAGTTTCAATTGCCACGGTGCCATATCAATTCTGGGAGTTGAAGTCCTCGAGTCATCAAAGAGCCAAGGTTTGCCTACCTCTGATCTAGTTTCTCCTGCTTGAGCAGGGGGCTGGACTGGAAGACCTCCAAGGTCCCTTCCAGGTCTATTCTAGTCTAAAATCGGAATGGAAGTACAAGATTTTCGGATTTCTCAAAGGCCGTTGGCCTTAATTGTAGGGTGGGTTATTTCTCTTAAGCTATCCTGCAATTATCTGAAGAATAGTGTGTGTGTGTGTGTGTGTGTGTGTGTGTGTGTGTGTGTGTGCTGGAACAGGTCTATAAATAAAGATGCATTAAGGAAAACTGTCTTGTGGCTCTAGGCCTGCCCAACAGCCAGCGAACGCCAATGAATGCACAACGCAACAATACACACGTGACAGTCTAGATAGTTACCATTGCTCTGGATCTAATCCGGAGAGAATGAATAAAAGACAAATCACTGACGCACGTTCTCAGTCTAATTCTCAGCCAGCAGCCGCTAGCCAGTTCTTCTATTTCTATGGATTCCCCCCCCCATGAGGAACAAAGCAAAAAAATACAACTGCATGCAACGCCACAATCTTGCTTTACAGATAGTCCTCAGCTTACGACCGTAATTGGGCCCGTTGCTAAGCGAGACAGCGGTGAAGTGAATTTTGCCGCAGTTTACAGCCTCTCGACATCTCTTAGTTTAAATTCAGTTCTCGTGGTGCAGCGACTCCCTTAAACACTCTCGGCAAGGATGGTTAATATTCCAATTTACGGCCTTTCTCTCCACCGGTCTTAAGTGAATCACGGCGGTTGTTAAGTCAAGTCACACGGTCGCTAAGCGAATTTGAAGTCCGCAAATCTTAAACACTGTCAAGGTTGCAGACCCCTGTGATAGAGAACGTCCCCCTGAAGAGTTTAATGGGTAGGGTGAGGAACTGAGGGACAGTTTTGCCTGCTTGAGCAATGGGTTAGACCAGCGGTTCTCAACCTGTGGGTCGGGACCCCATTTGGGGTCGAACGACCATTTCACGGGGGTCGCCAAACAACGCAGTCCGCCATTTTTTCCCCCTTTTCCTTAGCTGTGCTACTCCCTTTTATTCTATTGGCTTTTGAAAGCCAATAGAATAGACTTTCTTGAATAGAGTCTAATTCTATTGGCTTTCAAAAGCCAATAGGAATTGTCCAGGCTGTCTCTGCCCTGCTGAGCCCGCCAAAAGTCCCATTCTGCAAACGGTGCTGCAAGTTGTCTGCAGCGAAGGCGAGCTGTCTGGAGGTTTCCACCCTTCCCTGTTGAGCAACTACTAAAAATGTAAGTAAAAGAGGGCCAGGGGTGGGAGGTGGGAGGCCGGCGGGCGCAGGGAGGGTTGCTGGCGCACGTGGGGCCTGGCGGGTGCCTTACCTCCCTTGGGCTGGGCCAGCTGGTGGCCCAGCTGGTGGTCAGCCTGCTCCGTCTCTGCTGCTTGCCAGCTACGCCTCGGCTGGCGCAGGGGGCGGCACCACGCATGCGCGGCGCTCCCGGGCAGGGAAAGTCCTCGAATTACGACCGGTTGGGGGTCGCAGCATTAAAAAGGTTGAGAACCACTGGGTTAGACTACAAGATCTCCAAGGTGCCTCCCAACTTTGTAAAGTACCACTTTACAAACCCCTAGTAGGACCACACCTGGAATACTGCAGCCAATTTTGGTCACCGTTATCACAAAAAAGAGGTTGAGACCTTGGGAAAAATTCAGAGAAGACCAACTAAGATGATCCAAGGCCTGGAGACCAAAACGTATGAAGAACAGCTGCGGGACTTGGGTTTGGCTAGTCTGAAGAAAAGAAGAAATAGGGGAGACAGGATAGCAGTGTTCGAATCTCTGAGGGGCTGCCACAAGGTAGAGTTTGTTCACCAGAGCACCAAAGGGAAGGACGAGAAACCATGGTTGGAAGCTGGTCAAGGACAGAAGCAACCTGGAATTGAGGAGAAAGTTCCTGACAGTGAGGACAATCCACCAGTGGAACAGCTTGCCACCAGAAGTCGTGGGCGCTCCCTCACTGGAGGTTTTTAAGAAGAGACTGGACAACCATCTGATTGAGATGGTATAGGGCCTCCGGCTTGAGCAGGGGGCTGGACTAGAAGACCTCCAAGGTCCCTTCCAGCTCTATTCTATTCTACAGAGTGTCCCTGGACAGCAAGGGCGAATGAAGATGCTATGAGTGGCATCTCCTGAGGATTCTGGCACGTCCTTGTGACTTTAACACTGGACATTCTAGAAGATGCGTCACTTAGGGACAGCAGAACCACAGGAGAACCAAACATACTCAGGACAGCGCCAGGACACCAAGACAAGAATAGCAGTCTCCCAGGAATTTGAGTGTATTTGAGTATTCCAGTATTGGAGAGGTCGCCACAAAGAAGAAGGGGGGTCAAATTATTTTCCAAAGTACCCGGAGGGCAGGAGAAGAAACAACGGATGGAAACTGATCAAGGAGAGAACCAGCCTGGAACTAAGGAGAAAACTCCTAACAGTGAGGAGAATTAACCGGTGGAACAGCTTGCCACCAGAAGTTGTGGGTGCTTCATCATATTTAAGGAGAGACTGGACAGACACTCGTCCGAAATGGGTATAGGGTCTTCTGCTTGACTAGGCAGTTGGATTGGAAGAACTTCAAGGTCCTTTCCGGCAATATTCTGATTGATTAAAACGGATGGAAGGGCTGCCTCAACATCCAATGAAGTCTGCAGTCATCGGGCAGACGAGATACGGCTCCGTGGACCACATCCCAAAGATGCTTTACCACTGGACTTTTTTTTTGTTTTGTTTTCCTTTGAAGACGTTTCGCTTCTCATCCCAGAAGCTTCTTCAGCTAGGACTGGATGGTGGGGGAATGGAAAGATTTATACTCCTCGCAGAGAGCTGGTTGTTTGCCTTCTTTTAGAGCAGTGGTTCTCAACCTTTCTAATGCCGCAACCCCATAATACAGTTCCCCATGTTGTGGTGACCCCCCAACCACTTATACATCACCGGGTGCCAGGGGCGTGGCCAAAGAAAAGGGGAAAAAATGGCGGACAGCCTTGTTTGGTGACCCCCGTGAAATGGTTGTTCCACCCCAAATGGGGTCCCGACCCACAGGCTGAGAACCACTGTTTTAGAGAGTTGTTAAAGCTACCTGGAGGCTTATCTGTGTCTCCGGGGTCACCTGAGTAGTGCAAATGGGCGTGGAGCCTTCTTTTGGGATAACTATGACCTGGGCGACTGAGAATCTGCATAGACACTGGACAACCTATTGTCTTCTCCACCGTACGAGCCACCGGGAAGAGTCCAAAACAGATTCCACTGTCGCAGGGTAAGTTTGTTCTGCTGCCAATTTCGATGCACGCCTGACATCCTGAGGGAGATGCTTGGAGTTTCCTTCTGGGACAAATGTCTATGATTCTGTTGAGTGGGAGGTATGTGTGAACTGGAAGCTTCAGAAGAGGCTCGCTCTTCTCTGGTGATGCCAATGTTCTTCCACAAAGGTGGTGGTTATAACGCCGCGGAGTTATTATAACGAATCTGAGTTCAGCGGAGCATTCCGACAGGCTGTAACTTCTGAGCTCAGCCAGGGCTATCATTAGTATTTTTGTAGTAAACCAGGTGACCTCCCCCACAAGCCGTTAGGTCACCACGTCAGGGCTACAGGTAGCCCCCGACATACGACCACAATTGAGCC